AATTTTTAAGGACCATCTACCACGTCTACCAGGAACGTTAATTCCACATATGGTACGTAATTGCACATTCCCAGTCCAAGGTAACAGGACTTAAACGCTTGAACTGTTTGCTCCATATTCTTCTCTACATTTTTAAGTTCACTTGCCGGCCTTTTTAATATTGCTAGTTACTTCTAGCATAAATACAAATATTCTGTGTTAATCATCTTAAATATCTTTCACCTATGATATCTGTTCTGTCTTAGACAACCCAAAAGCATTAAAAAACTGGAACTTTGATAAAAATACCAGGTCTCCCAACGGTAGGGACGTAGCGGTGGTGGGGGGGGGGGGGGGGGGGGGGGGTTTAACAACTGTGATTTAAAAAGCTCCACCAAACGAATCTTTGTCCCAAGACTATCCATGTTGTAGGGTCTGAAAAGGGAAAAAGAGGGGGAAGGGGGGCCGATCCCGCATTCTCGCTCCTTTTCAAGAGAATACTGCGTCCCGAACTTCCATCATCGCCATCCTGACTGATCGTTTTCTTTCCCAATCCCGCATTCGTACCCAAATTTGGGCGAATCCCGCCTCCCGGGTAGCAGTCAAATCCCGTACCCAGTCAAAGGCTTCCCGAATCCCGCACTGTATTTTGTTCAAATCCCGGAACTAGGGAATACCTTTCCAGACCCGGTGTTACAGTGATATGGACATCCCCGCGTTTTGGGAATCTCCATTCTCAAAGCCCTAGAGATATGGGCATCCCCTTCTTTTATTAACTTAGCAATTTGGCTTAAAGTCAGGGTTACAGGGGATGTCCATATCACTAGGGGTTTTGGAAATGGGGATGCCCAAACCGCAGGGACGCCCATATCACAGTGACACCGGTGATTAAAGGTATTATGAGAATGGTCTCTGGAGAAATTAAGTCAGCTCACTAGCATGCAAAAATTTATTATTCAGACGTTTTTTTGATCATCATTAGACATGGCATACAAAACATATCCATGGAAAAATCAATTATACTCCCCGATTCACCCTTCACTTCTAAAAACTATAGGTGCTTACGAACACTGTAAGCGTCGGCAGTTTACGAAATAAATATTTAGAATACGTTTTGTTTGAGTTTCGGTCCAAGAACAAATAATTTAATATCTAAAACGTAGATCTTCTCCTTCCAGTAGTCAACTCTTGAATAGCGAATGTGTTTAATGTTGATGTAATTTTAAGGAAAAGCTTGGAGTCTTCTGGTAATCTCTTACCCAGATCTCTTATTGACGTCAACAAGAGATCTGGGTACGAGATTAGTCTTATAGGGGCAATGTCACGCTGATTGCTTTTTGTAAAAAGGCAAAACGTGTCTTCGCATCAAGTGAATTCCTAAAAATAATGTTCAGTTTTGTTATTTAAGAGTATATTCAGGCATTGAACCTGCTTCATGTCGACTGTTGCTGCGGATGGCAGAGATGGACATGGATTGAAACTTGAAATGATTCAGGGAAGTTTCTATGCTGTACCCGCAAAAATCATAACAGGCAATGTTATGGTTAGAGCTCCTTGATGAAATATGTTTGATATCTTCTTAATGACTACAGAAACGTTTTGTGCATGGGTAAAGGCACTATGTAAGAAATGACTTTAGCACAGAACAACAATAGGGACCTTACGAAACCACGACGACGACGGCAACGGGAGCGTCAAAAAACAATACGTTTAATGAGCAAAACAACAGCTTTGCAGGTGCATCACGCTTTGTTGTACCTTTATTTGCCTACACTGCACAACTACGACGTGAAATGACCAAATTTTAAGTTTACTTGGGAACGGGAACGGTCAGGCGATAATTCTACCTTCTCTGTCCGAACTTGAGCCCGTTTCCCTCTCTTCAGCTCCAGCCAAAATCCCCTTCTTTTAAGTAACAGGGCGAATTGGGATAATCGCGAAAAAGTTTAAAATGATGCGAAGTCTTTTTTTCAGCGACGTCGTCGTTGTCGGATCGTAAGGTCCCTAATATCCACGTGACAACGTCTCTCAAACTTCTTAACTTTGACTACTCAAATGAAAACTACTGAACAATACCTTCTTGCTGTATCGTTAAGCTGTACAGGGTAGTTCTACCTTTTTTTCACCTATTAACGGTATCTAAATGACTACTCTGCGGACGAGATGAAAGTGGGACGAATGATCATTAAACTAAAGTTCTATACAGTACTGTTTTTTTTTTTCATTAATAGTATAAACACTGTAAAGAAAGAGTGGGGGGTTCGTTATTAAAATTGGCTTAAGAGGAAATAGAGAACATTATGAAAATCCGTTTTCTAACTTTTAAGAGAGTAAAGGATTACCGTACACTAAAACAATCACAGCTCCGTTCATATGTATAAAAACTCTTGATAACTCTCGCAAATATTTTAATATACAATAAATTAAAAAGAACGGTTGGCACAAAACTCCAATCTTATATCTGTTGCATAGCCGCAGTGCATCAAGTTTCTTCACAATGAAACCTAAAAACAAATTGAGATTGATTCGTAAATCATCTGCATAATATCATGGGTTAAGAATTGCTCCTTAATTCTGGCGCGAAATTTCAGCGTTCAGTATTATTTCACATGGGAAATTATAAAATTTCCATGGCAACCTCCCGTACCCATCAGTTCCAAGGCAGCCAGTGTACAGACGCGCCTTTGGAAAACCTTAACACAAGAAAGAGCATAGCCTGCAAAAACAGCCGTTTCTCCTCACTCCTCGCCGCTGGGTACGTTTCGTAAAATTCTCGGAAGATCCGATCGTTTGCCGAGTAATATCAAGTGATACGAGCGACCTATAGTGCCAGTGAGTCGTAAAATTCAAAATAGTCGCCAAAGAAAATAATTATTTTGATTCAAAACTTACATAATCTAATCGGATACGAGAGAGCTATGTGCGGGCAGGGTTTGCATTTGAGTACATGTGCAGGCTTTTAGCCAGGAGCCTCACTTTGAAGAAGAGGTTAGCCACCAAAAATACCGTAAATGTACCAGGCCTCATCACCTCTGCTAGACTTGCCACAAGTCGACCTCGCGAGTTAAAGCGTACCGAGAAAGCTTTTTAGGGGTTTCTAAAGGAGCGCAGCGAACTTTACAGCCCGCGAAGCGACCGACCGAGCAAAAATCGCACGACTTATGAGCGCAAAGGTTCTACGGATCGTTTGGAGTCTGAGCAACACCTTAGGACTGAGTCCATTTGGGGAGGGGGGGACATGTGTGTGTGTGGGGGGAAGGGGAGCTAATCGGGGAGTTATGGTAGGCTGCGTAACAAGCCGAAGAGGCGTTATGTCAATGCCTTACTTGATACGTACAAAAACTAAGGAGACCATAGAAACAGTCCGTATTAATGGGGTGTCTATATTAAGAAGGTTAGAATTGAAAATAATGTATGTTATTTAACTACATAGATACAGAGTTCGCCTTAATCTGCTACACAGCCGTTTTTAGACAAGACAAGGCAAGACAATACTTTATTTGGAGTCTTTTAGTGTCGTCACGCAACGCTCCTCCCCACTAACGTTAGTGGGGAGGAGCGTTGCGTGACGACACTAAAAACGGCTTTGTAGCAGACTAAGTTAGCCTCAGCCTGAAGTAAAATATTCAAAAATTCCAGCAGCAGCCCGAAATTTGAAAATAAGCAATTTAGACAGAGTTGTAAATAGGTCGTCATCACGTTGGCATTTGTGAGTATATTTACTTCAGATGTAGGCTAACGCTGTAAAGAGGCGTCTTCGGTGCTCTTATTCAGCGGTCAAGACCAACATTCACCTTTCGTATAAAACCGTCCGCAAAGTTCACCACATCATAAATCAATACCCAGAGATTTGTAATAGGCCCTGAAAAAAACAAAAACAAAGTTCATAGTTTTCTGAACGCAATAGGGAACTTAAGTAACAAAGACGACGGGGAGACCAATGAAGCCGTGTCACGAAATTTATCAACATTCAGACAGAGGAAACCGCTACCAAATTGAGTGAAACACACAAACATAACTGCTCAAAATCTGTTAAATGAAGAAAAAATACCACAGCAAATACAAAAGGAGAAACGGATGGACAAACTTAAAGAAGATTGAAACGGATTGCAATTGTGGTTTTTGAAAACTTGTAAGCCAAACAGGCTTTCAAAGTTCATTGTCGTTTGGTACGTTTGGAATCATGCTATACAGACATACTGTACATACAGTATCTGACAAGAAGCTGTGATTTTGTCCTTCACTGGTAATTTCTCAAGTTCCATAGCGCATAAGTGCGCGTAGCTGGTATTATCAAGAAATTGAACTAGACAGCCGTGCCACAGTCCTTTTAAAACCTCATCAATGTAAGCAAATCAGCGTTTTTTCAAACTCGATAAGCCTGCGAGTGTATGTAGACCCCAGGGGAGGAGGGTACTCCTGGGAATTCTTGGTGGGGGTGTACCATCCGGTTCTCCAAATCCTCACTCTATTTCTGACCAAAAAATGTCATTTTCTACACCCATTTTCAGACTTGGCTTCTATAAAATTATGCCATCAGTGACTTAGATTAGAACGCTAACATAAAGATTTCTTACAGTCCATTTGGAATTTGCATATTAATCTTTTTTTTTTCTTTTTTTACTTGGAAATGAAACGACAAATACGTTTGTACACTCCGTAGTTCCTGCGAAAACCATAACCGATTCCAGACCAAAATAGGTAAACTCTATATCCGTTTTCCGACACAAACAGCACAAAAACTCCATGGACATTGTCCAAATTCGCTCAATTTGTTAATTGTACGGTATGTCTTCCATTACACGTCGCATTATGACATTTTTTTATGATTTCTTAAATTTAGGGAAACAATGCTAACAAAATAGTCACTGAAAAATAGACTACGCATCTTTGCGTAGCCTCCCACGCAGACGAACCCCTAAGACCGTCTGCGTGGGAGGCTAGTCTTTGCGCAACGGAGTCGACGCTCATAACCAAGCTTGGGCTGCCTGGGCTGCCTGTGGAATAATAATTACATTCACTTACGCTCTATCTGCCTCCCGGATCGCATCACTAAGCGCTCTTCTTTCTTCTCGAAGAGACTCTCTGTAAAGCAAAGTTAAACATAGGCTTATTACCAAATTTACATCACGGCGCATATTCCACATATCGACATTCTAGCTCTAGAAAACACTACGCAGGAAGTTTTTGGTGCGAAAAAAGGACTCGCAAACCTCCGGTTATTTTCATGGGCCCGGCTTTGAAAACACATCTGCCATTCTTAAGGGCGAGGGGAATCAGAGACGTTCGGATTTTAAGACGAGAACGAGATTTTCTCAGTACTACTAAGGTAGGCATGGAGTTGAAGCCGTCGTCATTCTATTCAATACAAGTTTATAGTTATCAGATGTTAACAGATGGGACAGGGCTTATAACCTCCTTCAATAAAAGTAACTTTTCCGCGGTGTATGTATGTAAATGTGTAAATATCATATTATCCACTCCCCTCAGGGCTTTTCAGGGATAATTTACAACACTGGTTGGGGGACTTTACCAGACTGCTTAAGGTGCAGTTTATAAGTAATAAAGGAGTTGATGCCCCAAAAAATGAGTGTAAAAGTGAGATACACCACTACACCGGGCACTACGTGCCCTGTGGGTTCTTTAACGTCCCACAGATTTTTTATTACATGTGCAAAGGGCTTTTGAGACAGGGCCTACGGTTTATCGTCCCTATCCAAGAAGACTAAAAGTCAAACTGTTTGCAGATGTTATTATTACAAATACAGCATTTTCTCCTCATTTATTTAAAGACCCTGAGTGTTGGTCCGGCCGGGGTTTGAACCTACGGCCTCCCGCTCAGCAGACCGGCGCTTATCCCATTGAGCTAACCGGGCGGCGGTCAGCATCCCGGTCATATTTTTTTGAGAATCTCGTTCTTTCACTCGTTCCTGTTTATATTTACTGGACTCACCTAAGGACATCCAAAGAATCTACGCTGTCATTATCAGAGTCTTCAGACTGAAAAACGTGAAAGAAATCCAATTTCAAAACGTGTTTTTATGTATCTTATAGCACAATAAACAAACGTTACGTGTAAAATATTCTGCATATTTTAAGGGTTGAGTACTGGGTAGACTGTGAAAAGACTCCTCTCTATTTCGGACCATTGCACATAAGTCGATTGTGGAGACTGGCCTAAATCTTGGAATGTTTTAGTGATTTGAACCACACAACCTATCGATCCCTCATAAAAATGCTATATGATGATTTGAAATGTCCATAGATTTTCCACAGTGGCAGAATATTCGTAAGATATCTTCTGGGAGCACACTACATGAAACTATCATTTCAAAGTTTTGTTACAAAAGTACGTTAATATATTGATTTTTACACTTACAAAAGTTCTAGGGCTTTTCTTGTCAATCACCCTTTCCACTCGTTGTTGAATGCGATCAGATGCACCAAGCGCAGCCCTAAGATTGGGTGAATAACGGCTCTTGAAACGCAGCACTGGGTCGCTAAAGTTTTTCCAGGAATTTGATGAAATGTTTAGATCATCAAGTGCATAGCTCAGAGTACGAGATGGACTTGATGGTCGATATGACTGGGAAAAACTCATGGGTTCTGTTGCTGAGCGTGAATGAACTTTACGTCGAGTGGATGAGCTTGCTGGGAAGTCTTCAGAGTACTTCCAAGCTAAAAATCAAATTGAAAACTTGTATGATCAGATGATTCAGAGGCAGAATGAGGACTGCAGCTGGCTGCAGGGTAGAAAACAGCTTAGGTCAAAATTATATATCAAGCCACAGTCGTTCAAGCGATGGATAGCGCTGTTAACTAGTTAAGTCACCATCCAGCCGATAAGTATTTGGGAAAACAAAAGCATTATCCACTGGATAGAGATTTTTCCAGTGGAAAGTGTTATCCACCTTTGATCAGTTGGGGCCTGTTGTGATTCAATAATTGATCCTTGGTTGAAAAAAAATTCACTTTCCCTTGCTTTTGGCCATTATATAATAGGCTTGAAAGAAAGGATAAATTAAACCATGACATATCAACTAATGTATGGTAATTCTATGTGAGACTAACATAAAGTCAGACAACTCAGTCATCATCTAGGATCAAATTAAGGTCATTTCAACTTCAGATAGTTGTCATTTTAATACTATCTTGCTTATCTCAGTGTAATCTGACACATTTTAGCAGGTGTTTACCATAAAAATAATCATGCCTGAGCCGTGCCTAGGGGGTTTAACTTAAACTTTTCAATGAACGTTACTATGTCTTTTTCATATGGGATTGGCCTGCATCGCTGATAACCCTGGTTAGTAACATCTTCAAAGCATTGCCGATATTCTTGTTCTGAGTCCCTTGACGGATTCAATGAATTGCTGGAAGTGTTGTATTTCTGTTCGACTTTATCATGATTGGTAAATTGATAATTGCTCTTTTAACAGGCCAATCATGGCGGATACTCTCAAATCCTGGTACACAGGTAGGGGCCCAGAATAAGGATTTCAGCACTGTTTTGCAGACGGACTTAACTAGAAGTTAATTTCTGTCTGTGGTGCAAGATTGATTGTAGTTAAGATTGACGGAGTACAGATGTGGGAATTATCACTAACCTGGTAATGGCTGCACACTGGACATTCCAAGACGGGATGGGGAAGTTGATCGAGGTCTCCTGGTAGGTGACTTGGACCTTGATCGTCGAGGCTTTGGACGAGTAAAAGAACTAAAGTCACGATTTTCCAACAATCTCTCTTCCTTGTGGTGCACAAGAAAAGGTTTCTCATGATTGACAAGTGTATCATCAGGTCTAGGCGTGCTGGTAAGTTTGTGGCGTGATGGGGAGGGAGAGCGTGTTATGCGTTTAGAACCTGAGGGACTGATTGACCGGCGACTGGCACTAAATGTACTGTTTGTTAAGACATCATCAACACCAGAGTCCTGAAATTAATAGCGCCAGCTTTAGTGGGTTAAACTTTTAATAAGCTGAGAGCTCCAAGATATCGGTCCAAATGTTTATAGAAATTGTCAATTAATTTCTCCCCTTACAATTAGTTTGCATGGTGAAATAATTGATTGGACAGCTTCCTCTCGGAAAATGTTTCCTAACTGCGCTACCTACAACTGAATACAGTCTTCAATGGTAATCTATTAAGCCAAATCATTTCATAAAATATATTCCTCTTAAACATAGCCTTAAACAGCAGAGTGATGTAGAGAAAATATATTGAATGAGAAGTGCAGTGCTGTTAGAGGACTCAAGGAAACAAAATTTATGTAAAGTATGTGTCGCCGGTCAATGCCCTTCAAATCAAGACAGTGTGGTGACAGTGCAGCTCCCTAACCATCAATGCTCTATACTAAGTGTGGCCACCTTTTAGGCAGGAGACAGAACAGAGATGCAGCCATCTTGTTTTATACAAAAATATATCATACTGAGTGTAAACTAGAGAAAGGTAAAGAACCGGTGCTTTACTGCAATGATTGTATATAAAAATACTTGCATGTAAAGAAGAGAGAGGACCTTGAAGAGGCCCTGCCAAAGAGCTTTTGATTAAAGTAATTGAGGTGTAGTATGAGTCAAAGTTTAGTGCTCAATAAAAGGACAGAATTAATATAAGCTGGCAGTATAATTTTAAATTGAAATTTTACCATAGCATGGTACTAATAATACCGTAAAATTCCAGATATAAGTTCCTTCATGTATAAGCCTCTCCAAATATAAGCTCCCCAAAATCGCAACGAAAGAAACCCTCTGTTAAATCACCCCTCTGAATATAAGCCCCCCGGGGGGCTTGTACCTAGAATATGCCCTCGAATACAAAGTAAAACAAAGCAAAAATGGTAAATTTCCTTCCCACTACAAGCTAGCCCAACTGATTTTGAAACACAAATTTCCCTCCATACATGTGCGGCCCCTCCAAAAATAAGCCCCTGAAAAAGGGACTTTGAAAAAATTTGATAATCCCCAGGGCTTATTTTTGGAATTTTACGGTATATTGTAGAAAGAAGCACTAAATTCTCCACGTGTATTACTAACAATTATGCATATAAAACTCATTTGAAAACTAGAGACCAGTCTTTATGGTTGTGCAAAATCTGAGGCAACCTTTTGTTTGTATATACAACAACACAGTGCAGGTAATAAGACGAGTATAAAATCACAATGTCCAACAGAAACCATTAATAGTGAACATAAAAAGCTACAATGGTTGGTCTTACTACAGTTTAATAAACCCAAATAGCGAGACTGGGGCTGTTACTAAGGGACAGGAATTTGCCCATCTTTTACTGTAAGATGGCAGTCTTACCGAAGATGCATAGTCAATGGCATCCGGTACTTCTTTGATGGTGGTTTTAGTAGAAAACTCAAGTCTCAATGGTTGACCCTATCGTGGAAGTAACAAAAAAAGTTGCTGCAGGTAAATGAACACCTAAAATAATCATTACGTTACACTATCATATTTTGTTGATTGAAAGCTCCCTTCAAACAGGCCATTTATGGATTATTAAAATTCATACTTGGCTCTGAGATTGAGGGGAATAAAACAACAGAAATGAATTGTCAATATGATCGCTGAATCATACATTTTCTCTTTTTTTAATACCTGTCAGCGTCAGTGCCAAGTATGAGTTTTAATAATTCAAAACTGACCTTTTGCTACACCTCCCAAGCTATAGTTTTCTTTGGATAATTTATTGACTTATTTGTCCCATGCAATGAAGAACCCCACAGTCTGGTATCCCAAGGGTTGTAAATGAATTTAATTTAGGGAACTTGAGCAATGAAACTCTCACTTCTAATAAAAATTTTTGTTATACACATGCAAACAAAATAATAATTTTTCCACCATTTCCAGTGTGTCCAAGTTCAAAAAGACAAAAATTATCAAGGCTGTTGTATGTTGACATTTCCCATAAAATAATGCATTAAGAATTTTTAAATAAACTTCAGCTGACAGTGATGAAAGACATTATTTAAAGTGTGACAAACATACAAATTATTACTGCTTTACTAATTGATTAAAATTAAACCTATTAACAATATAATATATATTTGATGTTTTTATTGCTGTCCCTGTCATGTCTGCTAAATAAATGTACATGTTATACCTTGAAGCAACTTCGATGGCAACAGCAATGAAATCATCATTAAAAAAGTGAATTTTCGCAGTGTTGCATCCATGTTGTTCCATCTCATTTAATTTGTCAAATGTTGGTAAATTTTTCTGGAGTTAAATCCTAAAGGACTATATACAAGTGCAAAAAAGAAAATTGAAACATGAAATTAGGAATTTTCACTTTGTATTTGTGCAACAACGGCAAGGAAATGTACAAAAAAGAGTGAGATACATGCAGAGTTGTTGTTTGTTGATGTTCATGTATGCCTCATATCTTACAATGAAATAGGGATCGAGGCTTTCCCTTTGAGGCTTTTATAAAGCTTTGCTGTCTTAGACTTCCCATCAAAATTGCTTTATACTTACTGTAATCCTAATTGGGTTGAAAAGGGATGTTTTGAACAGCGTCAGCTCCCGACCAGAGCCTGGATATGGTGGAACTGCTGGGTACAAGAAAACTCTTGCATTGTTGGCATAGTGACCTATAACATACCCATCTAAACAAAAAATAATGTCTGTGTAAACTGTATGCACGCATGCAACATATGAAATGAATCTTAAAATATCCAACCTTTTAAACAATGTACATTAATTCTACTGTGTTTAAATTCTTAGTGCTGAAAATGCTCTCAGTAGTCAGTAGTATCAATGACAAATTCTTAGTTTGTTTCATAGGCAAACATTAATTCGGAATGACAGAATAGTTATGATTTTCGTCGCTCATTGACAAGCCCACAAGGAAAGGATAATTTTTACAACTAACAGAATTAACATAAAAATATATTAAAAATGCTTATTTTGCTCAAGCTTTTGATGCTATCTTGATATCTTTTTAAAGGAATGGAATATGTCACATGATTTCAGTTGATTTTAAAATACATTTCCCACTGTACACACCAAGATAGCCTCAAAAGCTTCAACTCTAAACAGGCAATCATTTGAATGTTTATAAATGTGAATGTTAGGTGACAATAACTGTTATCCTGTGATCCATCTCTGTCTTTTGGTTAGTATAATATTATCTTATTTATTTTATCAGAAACTGTCATTATTAAGTATTGCGCAATACCTGTATAAGTACATGTAATCTAACTAATTATTCAAACACCTTTCTGTACAGCACAGTACATCTGTTGTTTCAACTCTTCATCACATTTTGATCACTCGATCGCAGCATTATTCAAGCTTATTTGTTTCAAACAAACGGAAGGGACATAGCAAAATTAACAAGGAAAAAGGAACAACAAGTCAAAAGCTTCTTGAAAATCCCTTTCATCTTCGACAAATAAATCTTTAAAAATACGAAATTTCAGAAGTGAATATATATAGATATGTTTGGTCAACCGGAGGAACAAAGAAATTATTTATATTACACTAATACTTTTAATCATCCGAACCAAAACAATAACTTTCATTGATATTACAACTTACTATCCTCATGCAAACGACATCTGACAAAAAGGGGAGGGAATTTTCAGTTACTCTAAAAGAAAAATCTTCAGGTGCAACGCAAACAGAAATTCTTCATCGAGCTCGAGTGATTTTCGACGTTTTATGATTTTTCACCGGTTGCTGTGAACTCATTCAAAACAATAAAACAGGTTTTGCGGTTTTCATTCAGACAATAAGTAATTAAAGTTTGCATTGAAATTACTTTTAGCAAGGTTAAAAACTTCTTAACTGCAGGGCCATGACCAAAAACGATAAATTACTGTGCTCTTCGTGCACACACTGAGAGCGCGTGAAACGCGTGACCAAAATTTCCCATAATTTCTAAGCTTACTTCGTGCTGCATATACTGGCCTTGAGAACAGTTTTTCAGGAAAAACTGTAACACACTTTACTTTAGTAGGAATAGCATTTTGAATAATTTAGGTACAGTAATAATGTAAACATATTTTCACATCTTTTTGCCGTCACAACTGAGAGAAATTCTTGGCTTGAATTAAGCTTAAAGCATGTGAAATCAAAACTGAATGGAGCCAGAATCTGAAAGCTTAAAAATAATTGTCTGCTTACCTGAAATATAGTCATCATGCTGTCTTAACTCTACCAACACATCTTCACCTATTTGTGAAAATAAACGTAGTTTTCGGTGAGCTGAATTCTTTATCTGTGAATGGCGCTACACTAACAAATATGGCGGAATGCTTCGATCAAATTACAGTACACACACCAACAAGACACAACTTTAAAAGCTACCTTTTAGATGAACGGTGACATAAGCAGGATCTTGACAGCTCTTAAAAACCTTGAAAATAAAGAAAGAAAACCTTAGTTGATAATGAAAACCAAAAAAGAACTCCCGGATAAAAATATCAGCTGTTTTACATAGCTTACCCTTTCGAAACGTAAGCGTTCGTGAAAGAACAATGGAAAAGTCGGAGCTACAGATTTTGTGTTTACTTCTAAACCCATGCAGTTAACTTTGAGATAAACATAACCATAGTCCCGTAAAAAAGTACCAGGACATGTAACCTATAAGATAAAAGAAAGTAGAAAGATTATGAATCAGGTCACCACAGAATTCGATCGAAGCATTGCGATCTCTTGCATTCGTCTAGCGTCGTTAGCAACGAACAAAAATCTCGCTGAAATTACTTTGAAAATCACAATAAATCCTTACTGTATGAATATCCAATTCAACTATGACTTTCATAGCTTTGCGAGGCATGGTCTTCGCCAAAGAATAAGAAAATTTCTTCAAGATGCTGTTGCACAAGTGTAGACACAACTACAGATATCTGGCCCGGCTGACAGTGATCGAACGCGGACGATAATTCCGCGTCACCGCGGGATAGACGCGAAATTTAGTAAACAGAGTCTAGCCAATCAGAGTGAAGTTTAGTTATTAAAAGTCTTGTATTAATTAAATTAATGCATTAATACACAAACACTTCCTTTGTGACGTCAAAAAGAATAGGGGTGCAGATTCCCGATTTTAGCGTGTTCAGGGTGGAAAGTTTTCCAAAAGCAACCAAACTGTGGGTTTAAAGACAGTATTCTTGTCAACAGCTTAATGGTTGGTCAGTTCCAAGCGTGCCCATCCCTCCCCGGCATTTGCATAAGGGCATTTGTCGGGCATTTGTTATCCTGTCCGTCCCGGTTGCGGGGAATTTGTCAGAAAAACTGACAATTTGTCAAATCTTCTAGAAGCGGTTATGGTTCCTCTTTTCTTAAACATTAAAATATTTTAAAAATGTGATGGAAAAAGGAATCAGGAAAAATTCTCACCTCGTAATACGTTAAATTAAATTGCATAAAAAATTTTCGGGAAAATGTAATTAGTAGACAACCCAACGTAACGAACTTTGTAAGATCGCGTGCGCTTTAAATTCAACGGCGATTTCAAAATATTAAACTGAAGATGATGTACCGTTGTCTGGAAAATTAAAAAAAGTTGATGTTTAAAATCTATATTGTTATTTGGAAAATGTCAGGGGCGGAAATTTTTTTTTTTGGAGGGGTGCACTTCTTGTAATACGTTAAACCACACTGTTTTTTTTTTTTTGAGAATACCAGTTGTATTAGAAAACCGAACTATAATTATAAAATACTTTAACTTTAATTTTACTTTTACTGGATTCGTTGCTTGTAATTATTAATACGTACATAGAAAATACAAAATACGTTAGATAAAGAAAAATAAAATAAAATAAATATTGCAACTGGAGCAGGAGACAGGACAATATCCCAGTTGATATCTTGCCCGAAGAACCAAATGGAATACCATGAATAACAGAAACCCTCCCAGGTTTAACCCCGCCCTTTACCGTCTCCCCATAAACAGACACATATGTGAAACAAAACTGAATAGTGGAAGGCTGGCCGACTAGGGCAAAGGGCTGATTTATTATAGGTCGATAGTGCCATCCTGGCTTGCATTCAGTTTTGTTTCATTTTACACATCAAGTGACGTCTGGCTACAGCATCAGGGGCACCCAACGTCAATTTTCGCAAAATATCTGTTCGGAAGACGATTTGAGATCTAGAATTTTCGGAACATTTGTAGTAAAATTTCTTGCTTGCCTACCTCTCCTAGGATTTTCGAACGCCTACAAAATGGTATAATTGCCCATTTTTGACGGATTTTTACCCTAAAGAGGTCACCTAGAATTTTCGGGAGCCTTTTTTCTGGCAGAAATTTTCGAAATGGTAAGTTAGGTAATCCCTATAATTTTCGGATCACTAGAGTTTCAGCTAGGACTTGAAATCCGAACAGATGAAAATTTTTAGGGGATAAAAATATGCGTATATCTACCGTTTAAATACTAAAATACGTTCAACAATGCCATGTTTAAGTGGTCAGCTTGAACTATATTCTCGTTGGGTGCCCCTGACAGCATCTCTTCAATTAGAGATCCGGCAAAAGGAACGAGTCAGTTTTATTTACACGCTGCGTGGACCTCTGCGTTTAAACAGTGTTTCCTAGACACATAAGTATCACCCTATACCCCAGTGGCTGGGAGGATATAAGGTACAATATTGCGAGAGCGAATATCCAAGATCCCATTCTTAAAACTAGAAGGCGACTCATTCGTGCTTTGATGTCGGTGACAGTAGCTGAAGCCCTTGTAATTTCCAGAAGACTCAAGTTCCCCTAGGATGACCGAAAAAGTACAAATCTTATAGCACCGCTTAGGGGGGTGATGCATGAGATATGTAAAAGAACTCTGGATGGCCTAAAAATTGTTTTCAACGTATTCAGGAGGAAACCATTGGCTGCCCCTGCCTCTGCTCCCATACATTTCCTTTAAATTCAAACATCACAACTAAACGGTCACGGACCAGTTTGTGTGGGCCAACTGTGACTATAGCGATCTTATTTGGTCTCAAATAGAGTCTTAACCAGACCAGATTACCTCCTTAATCTGGGCCGGGTTTTTCAAAACTGGGTTGTGATAACCCAGGGAGTGATATCGTTCGAATTTTGTATAAAACTTTAAAACGCAAATTCAGTTTCATTCTTGTTGTCTTTAATTTGGCGACTGGGTGCTATAAAATGAGTAGGCAAAAAAAATGCTTTTGAGAAAAATCCGAGAAAATGCTTTTGAACAAAAGAAAAAGAAACTTGGATTAAAATTTAACCCCGGGTTGCGTTCCTGGCCTTCGAACAACTGGGCCCTGGGGCCCGTTTCTCGAAAGTCCCAGTAACTTTTCGCGCCCGGAAAGTTGTTTTGTGTTTCCCGTGTTTGCATCCAAGATCAAAGCTTCGACACTTTTGAACATGATACAATAAAACTCTTATTTGAGGTTACCCGTTCATATATCCCATAGCCAAGGGAGCTGCGCGAGAACACGCGAGCGAGCGGCGAATCCTCTGGCGTGCCTCTCGCGCGTTCACTTTTCAGCAAGCTACAATGTGTACTCTCTCAAGTCAGGGACACCGAAGACTTCGTCATAGCAATAACTGATTCTCTCTGAAGAGACAGTTTGAAATTCCGGTTTTAACACCCAGTAATTTTTGTCACTTGACTTCCAGCCGTTTGAGTCAGTTAATAGCTAGCTTTTCCCTGATCCAAAACAGGGAAACAACATATTCAATTAGTCTGAGCAGCAATTCCTGTTTCCCTGTCACGCACTGGGGGGTGCTTTTGTCAAACACTTAACGGGCTTTCCAACACTGAGCGATGTGAGCACGTAGTAGATTGCTCGAGTACACTGTCGTGACCTTGTACAAGCTAACAAAGCCTAATTTCGGCTTGGAAATTTGACAAAAAGACATGTTCCTCCCTGACCTCTCACCCATAACAAGAGAGCATAAAAGCCTTCTTGCCCGTAATGGGTACCAGCTTTCCTTTTTCTTTGGTTTGTGGTGTGGGCATGACTCAAATTAAATCAGGAGCCGATATCGGCTCCTGCTCAAATTTATTCTCAGCCACGATTAAAAGGTAGTAGTGCTTATTCTTAAAATCACCTGCTGTACGGCTTCGCGAACCGAAATATCCTGGGATTAAATACCATTCAGTTATAGTAGCTTATGTTGGAAACTGATGACGAATTGGAATAAAAGTTAAATGCGCATAAAAATCATTATGTTCCGACTGGCACTCTCTTTAAAAATTAAAGGTCTCAACAAATTTCGATGCATTCACAGGCAGCCGTTGTAAAGCCGAAGCTTTTAATCATTATTTCATGAAAAAAATTTTCGATTTCTTTCTGCTTACATTAATTTACATAGCATTTTTTTTTTAAAAAGTGCAGGTTAATACGCCAACGGATGTATCACGTACACCCTAAAAATAATCGCGGGATCAATGATATTGTGCAACGCAGAAATGTCTTCATCACCCATCTTTGCTATTTTCGTTTCAAGTTTTATCGAAGGAAAATTTTGCATGAAGACTTAGATTTTGCCTTTAAAGTCTGTGTAGCTCTATAATATTTTCAGTTAAAAGAGAAGGAGACCGGAACTATTTAACGTTTTTGTTACGTTTTTACACCCATTTATTGTGGCTTTGACAATTTTCCCTCTCAAAGTTACACTCTCTCTCCAGGGTTTCTCATTTATCGTGACGTCACAGTGCTATACTACAACACGCAAATATGGCGACGGACAAGTTGGTGATGACTACAGTAATTTTAGCGTTGGAGAGACTTTGTGGAGATATCAGTGTTTAAAAGGAGCTATCTGGAAGATGTCAAATGTTCCTTAGATAATAGAAAGAATCGATACATCGTCAGCGATGTAAAATTCGTTTTTGGAGATTCCTTCTTGAGATTTGAGAAGTGAAGGTTCTGACCCCGCAATTGATGTCAGTTTACAAACATTTCGAGAGAAATGTTCGGTATACGTACGTAGAGGAAAATCGTTTGTGAAAAGAAAAGGTGGTAAATATCTTCTCGAGTACGGAAAAATGGACAAAATGGACCGACAAGAGCGATTGGAAAGAACAGCTTCTATGGCATACAACAAAGGTTTGATCAACAATCCGGGTGAAAATAATTGTTTCCTCAATTCTGCCGTTCAGGTAAGCAAGTAGCCTTGTTACCAGAACAAACTTTACGTACCCTATTGATATTTTTGGTGAAAAATTAAGTTTTATTGTTTCTTCATCGGTACCGAACGTACAAGTTTATTCTCGAGCGTGGAAACTGATGCTCATTAAAATGTGTTATGTTTTATTGCAAGATAACAATACCTTCTAGAGAAACGTAATAACATTTAGCGTTATTTCTGTCGCATTAGAAGCTTTTAAAAAGAGCAGAAATAACCGCTAGATATTCTCATAGTATGAAATAATAAAGCTGAACCCACTGGTCACTGGTTATCCAAATTAGAAGTTCTAAATTTGTCGCCTTCTTGTGGGTTTCGTGCGTTAGTTTATGTATCTCTGGCCCGTGTATTGATTTAGCGGTTTTGGTACTAAACTCTCATTCGTTCATCTTGGAGTAGTAATATCTTTTGGTTGTGAGTCATTATCTCGTCGATTTCTGGGAACTCCAAACGTTGTAAATTAAAACAATTTCATTGGCACATCGATCACAATTTGATCGAACGAGTTCGTGTGGGCATGAATGTCCTAAGGAATGCGCAATTAGATTGCCTTTTTTTCATTACATAAAGGTTTCAGCGATGCGTTAAAATCCTTTCTTATGTGCTGAAGGTGATTGAGCCATAACACAATGGGCTTGATGTCTTAAGTTGCACAGCCCGTGCAAGACTTGATTTATCTCTGCAGGAAACATTTATTTATATCAAGAAGGTTGGAACATATTAAAAGTTTCTCTCCTAAAATCGCGTCTAATAATTTTGTGTATGGTCGAATATTTTTTCACAATCCTTCCGCTAAGTACCACATCCGTTCAGTTTTATGCGGATCACGGATCATCAACAAATTATGTGAAAAAATTCTGAACAATTTTCCATTGCTGTCAGCTTACCTTCTTATCTGAAACTCGATCTAACTGGAGTTTTGTGCAGTTTCTATAATTTATTTATTGCAATTAATAAATTGTAGGACTAAGCATTTTCAGATTCTCACATTTAAAATATTATAATGTTAACGATATTCCAAAACGAATCTATCTCATCCCTGTAGTGTTAAAATAATAATTTGGCATTTTTAAACCACTTAAACTTAATCCGTTTCTAAGCTAAGATTAGATTATAGGGGCCAATATTGAATTCTTACCCTGTATGGTTTAGAAATTGGCGTGATGTAAAAGAATCCCAAAAGCTAGATTTTTTTGTTAGATATATATTCACATTAGTTATATGTCTGATTATAAAAAAATACAGTTTATATTGTAAAAATGCATCATTCCTAGCCTTGTCTAAAATTTTGAAAATTGAAGGTTTTTTGTATAGGTGGCCTTAGTGTTAACCCATATTAATAACATTATTTGAACAACTTGTGTCCTACCATATTCAACCTTTTTTAGTCTTGAAATACCACAGTACTTCGCACTTGAAAAGCACAAAGAGCTCTGAGAGGTCCAAGTCTTAATCAGTGTAATGATAATTATGGTTTAGATTACATGGGTTATGTTTTCGTTTAAAACTGATACTAATAGGTGGCTGTAATCAATAGGATTTATTTCTTAAAAAGAAAATGTCAACGTTTATCCTAGAGTGTATCATAGGACTTATATGTTTGAAAAATAATGCTGCACAAACTTTTTGGGGCAGCAAATATGCAGAAATTTATTTTTGTATTAAAGCAAATAAGCGCCAAAAATAATCTGAAATAAAGAATTCAATTTTAAATCATAGTAAATACCGTCAGTTGTGTAAAGTTAATCCATAAATGAGAATTGAATTATCTGCAATTTCGGAAAGGGGGGGGGGGGGGGAGGGACATTTGACTCTCATTGCATGACTGGTCAATTCCTAGAATAAACCACTAAGTGGTAGTGTCACAAAAAATATATGATTCATTTCACATAATTATTGCCATAATGTCATAAGAGTTGGAAATATTTAGGAATTTGCATGTTATTTTTTCTGCAATTTTTGAGCATTTTTTTTATTTCTGGAAAAAGGGTCGCTCAATATCAGGACTTTCACTAAAGGCCAGGGTTTGGGCATTTCCCCTGGCTATAATAAGTATGACACCTGGCTACTTTCATGGGAAGCAAAGGGAGAATAGGTAGAGGATATTATATGGCCTTGCAGAAATACGAAATTTCTCTTCAAGTGTCGAAAAATATTTCACGAGTGAGCGCAGTGAGCAAGTGAAATATTTTTTCAACGTGAGAAGAGAAATTTCGTATATCTCCAAGTAGCCATGTAATTTTCTATTTATTATAAAAACACCAATGAAATACCGAACCATTTCACTTTAATGGTTTTTTGGTGTAAAGGCACGATTTATTATGTAGACATAGCAGTGGTGATATTTTGACATGTGAAGATAACATGTTATTTTGACATGTGAAGATATCAAGTTTTCGCTCGAAAGCTCACCTGGTATTTCATTGGTGTTTATATTTTAAAAACGGTCAATTCCCTGTCTACCAGTTACATATATGTGGCATTTTGAAATCTTAGTGACAGCCTTGCAGCATAGTGTTAAACCAAGCCGTTCATTCAATGATAAATGCATTTTGCTTTAGGTACTTTGGCATCTTGATGTGTTTAGACGAAGCTTTAGAGAGATTAAAGGCCACTACTGCATGGGCCAGTCCTGTATATTTTGTGCTCTAGACTTCATATTCAAACAGTTTCAGTACAGCAGTAATGATGCTCTTCCTCCAGACGGATTGAGGGTTGCTTTAGCAGTTGCATTCAAGGTTAGATTAAATAATGCATTATTTTAAACATAATTCCAATCCTTTATGTGACGTTTACTTGTTAAAGGAGCTGTGTCACGAAATTCAGCCAAATTAGGAAATTACAAAATGCCTGTTAAATTAAGAGAAACATAAAAATAACCGCTTAAAACTTAAAAGCCAAAGGTTGAAATAAGATAACAGAAACAACAGATACCACGGATGGGCAAAACTGAAGAAGATTAAAACGGACTGAAATTAGGGTTTTTGAAAACTGTTCAGCCTAACAGTTTTTCAGAGTTGATCCCTGCTGCTTGCAACTTCAAAAACAATGCTCAGGAGACATATTTGTTTGTCTCGGATCTCTGATTTTGTCATTCACATGTAATTTCTTTGCTTACTTCAAGTTCCATGGCAATTGAGAGCGAGTAATTGGCAAAATTAAACAAAATGAATTGGACTGCCGTGACACAGCCCCTTTAATGTTACAAATCAGGCATCAATTATTTAAAAGAGAACTTTTAGAAATTAACAAGTTTGGCTATTGATTTCAGACTCAAAAACAATAGTTACACTTTTAAGTTACACTATGAAAGTTTTATTCAGTCAACTCAGAATATAGCTATAGAGCCACCGTGGATGGATAGCTCAATAAATGCACAGCCGTGTGTATGCTAGGGGTCAAAATTAAGTTCAGGTAAAAAATTTTTTTAACCTAGGTTGATTCTCTATTTTCTCTATCTCCTGGCCCTATACATGTGCTGGTTATGGTTATTGCACTTGGGTCCCACTACCTGCTTATGAGTAAACCAGCTATAAAAAATTTTCGCAAAAAGACATTAATTAGAGATACAGTTTTAAAATGCTGAAATAATTAGTGCGGGAACCTCCAACAGCAACTTATTTTGTTGTTGTTTGATTACCCCAGCACAGATATCTGGGAGTTGTTTAGTTGAATATGGGAAGCTCACTTGGTCTTACAGAGTCGATAAAAATTGACTTTGCTAAATTTAAGTGCATGTTGAGTCGATCTTAATTTTTATGGGTCAAATTCTTGGTCTTCTTTTCCTGTAATATAATATATGCTTCTGATTTTCCAACAGAATCAACATAGATTTCAGCTGGGAGACATGGATGACGCTGCAGAGTGTTTTGTAAGTTAAGATGACCTTTAAGATAGTCTAATAAAAGCCACAGAGAATATTTTTGCTGTAATGTCTTATAAATGTTGTTCCTTTGTTGGTTGGAAATTATCCATCAAACATGAGACCCAGTGTATCATCCAGCATCCAGACATGGAAAATATTTCAGGTGTTCATGGTTTTGTGAGTTTGATATTCCTGTGAGTCTCTTTTTCAGAGGTGTCACCAGACTTTATACAGATAGTCTTATCATAATAAGTATAGCCTGCACCACAGATGGAACTAAACTTCTGGTAAAGTCCATATGTGAAACAGTGCTGAAATTCTTGTTCTGGGTCCCCACCTGTGAACCAGGATTTGAGTACACACTACGATTGGCCTGTTAAAAAGCCTTTGTCAAAAGCCAATATTACTGTAAAGAGAAATTCAAAATGCATTTCCAGTAATTCTAAGTTGTTGAGTTTGTTGGTGGCCCAGAACAAGGATATTGGTACTGTTTCACAGATGTTACTAACTGGGGTTAGATTACCTCTCCCTCATTAGCACATTTAGAGTGCATATTCATTTTTACAAGTTTCATAAAAGGTCCTTTTCTGTGCGTATTCTTTTTAACACTTAGTTCTTACGCCAATTTCTTATACTTAATCTAGGAAAACATCCTGAGCCACATGCATACACTTGTTGCTAGAAATGAACATGATGATGCTTGCACTGCCAAGCACTGTATATCACATCAGAAGTTTGCCATGCAGATTATTGAACAGGTATTATGTGCGTAGGTCTTGAAAAAGTCCTGTCTGGTAGTCTGGGACAAGTAGATTTTCTTGTTGGGCGAGTAACTTATAAGCAAGTCATCCTCAAACTGAATGATAAATATTAAAGATGAGTAAGAAGTGGCCCCAGTCCCTGATTGATGTGTCATGCTCAGGCAAAGAAAAACAGTGGTTCTGTTGCAAATTGCTATGGTGAATCCTGTAACTTATACTGCACCATGAAAAATTGCAAGTCCATTCCAATAAGCAGTGGTTTCATTGAAATATTTGTCTGGAAAGGTTTCAGCTACATCTTGCCTGAAGGCCAAGCTGTAAAACTGACTTTCTTAGCACCTTGAAGCTGAAAAAATACTTGGATTGTTTCCTGACTTGTTGATACCTTAAATACTTTCTTGGGGCCAAATGCAAGTTAAATACAATGATCAACAAATCTAAGTTAAACACAATGATCAATATTTATTTTTTGTTTGTAGTTAACCTAGAGCTTGTGCTAACTAGGGTAAACCTTTTTACTCAACCTGAGTGAAGGATGGCCTAAAATGTTGTTTTAACTGTTGTGTCAAAATCTTATGGTGTGACCATTCAAATGAACCCCCTTTAACTTAATGAACCATAAGTACAAATTAATTTACTTTGACTGTGTTAACAACTGGCCTTATTTTGATATTATTTATAACAGACAATATGCCAGTGTGGAGAACAGTCCGAACCACTTCCCTTTTTTCAGCTTGTACACTATGTATCTGCTTCTGCACTGTGGTATGTACAGTCTGCCCAATAGTTGTCACTAGTAAGTTGTTTAAACCAAGACTTAACATAGTCGCAAATATTTTTTTGTTTCTTGAGAGGATATAATTATGACCGGCTAAGTCACCGTTTTGGTTAGACTCATTCTAATGTATAGACAGATTACTGCCTCATATTCCTTGCAATAATGGTATTTAGTTGTTACAACAATTCCTGCGTGCTCTAAGATAGATTTTGTTCATCTGGGTATTAATTATCACTCATGATAATATTAGGCAAAATTTTGCCAAATTAGTCTACGTGCTTTCCGTGTTACTTTGTGGTACAATTTGCATGAATTGTAGTATGGCAGTAATCTCCTTGCCTGGTTAAAAAGTACCTAATTTGCCTATTTGGGCTGCCACTGTGGAGTACCTTAATTGTCCCTTGCCCCTGCCAGGCCAAAGTTGTTTTGGCCAAAACATTTTAAAATCTGAAAGGAGAGGGAGATTTATCTAAAATTGAAGAGAATCTGTGGCATGTTTTTTTTTTTACACTTTTTCTACTTTGTATAAGTTAGGGGTGATACACCGTTTAAATAGCATAGACGGACACAGTATACCCTGTACCTACCATTGTTACTAAGTGCTGATATGTTAATGAATTATTATGTACACTGCACTTATATTATTTTTCACTACAGCACAAAAGCGAGGAGTCTAAAAGGATGGGACAATACCCGGCCAATTGAGAATCAGTTTGGAGTTCTGTTAAGAAGGGCAGGCCAAGACACCAGAGAATGTCAAGTAAGTTGAATCAGCTTATTTTATTTACACATAGGTAACTCACTGAAAGCTTTTATGGTATGCAACTACTATTTCATTTTCGCTAATAAATGATCTGTTTGACCAGCCATTTCTGTCCTTTGGAAGTTTAATGGTTATGGGATTTTAAAAATCCCCAAGCAACATTTGATAAACTTCTTTATTTTCCTTGCAAGTTTCCCTCTGTTTGGTTTTTCAAGAGAAGCAACAGGAGAATTTGCACGAGGCTGTCTTCCTGGTGGTGATGTTTCTTGCTTTTGTGACTAACAAATCTTGTATTTTAGAGTCCAGACTGTAGGGACAGAGTTCAAGTTCAGCGTTTGTTATTGAACTGTCCAGATATTGGTGAGTGAACACTTATTAATTTTATAATCCATGAAATTAATATTGATCTATTAATAATTACTTGGCAAATTGGCAAACGAAGTGCTGTATGGAAAGTCCACCTACTATACTCTTGAAGTCATAACTACCTTGCATGTCTTTATGGAAACTTAGAAATTAGAATTATAAGAATTTTTACAAAATTTTACCAATGTTAGAATCACGCAAGTAATATTATGGCATTTTAAAAAGTTGAATGACATTTTTAGCAACAAAAAATGGTAGAAAAGGAAAAGGTATCCACTGTTGCATCAAATAATCGCTATTACCTATAACAATTACTGAAAAGTAATTGTCTCTGTTGTTTTTGTAGTGAGCGTAGGTCTTATTTGGGATTCAGAGTCACCAGATGCTGAACATATTGCAGATGTTTTGCAATGCATTGGAACAACTCTTAAGCTTTCTGATGTAAGACTTTAGACATTTGTAAAACGTTTTGCCCTCATACTGTAAGTTGCCACGGCTGTCAATAAGTTAGCCTGCAAGCAACCTCTCCAATAAAGAGCCAGGAGCAAAGCCCCCTTGCACTCACATCTTCTTTTGTGTGCAGCTTTCACGTGACTTCTCACAACTCCCCCAAAAGGAGTGCTTGCTGTTATATGTATTTTTATTAGGGGGGGAAATTGAACAGCGAGGAAGTTCATTGATTCTATTTTCCCTTTGTTTCCCTCAAAAGTTGCTGGGGGTCATCCTCATAGTAGCCAGGGGAAATCCCTGGCCCTTAGTGGAACCCTAAGTTGCAATGAAGATACAGCTTAGTGTGGGTTATAAGTCTTCAAAAAAATGCCCGCTCTTGAATAATTTGCGGCCCCCTTTCTCTTCTCCTGCCTGTTATTTTGCCTTGTTTTCCGTAGTAATTTGTCTTGTTGTCAAAACCAGGTCTTGTTTGGCTCCTCCTAAAACATTCGGGAATTTATATAGGATTTAATGGAGCCAAAACCAATTGCATCCAGTTTAGGATGGCATTCTACTGATGAATGGTTATGGTTATTGCAGTAGCATAAGTTGTTGATAGACTGTCCCTGATCAATTATTTTTAAAGGCAAATGATCATCTATTTTGCCAAGATGTGGGAAAATCAATAAATAAACAATAAATTTGGCCTTCCTTGGGATTTTAGTCAAGAATTACTGTAATTGCAAAGGAAAAGCTTGTATGAATTATTTTGATTGCCATGGAACTATTCTCATGGCTAATTAACCTGTTTTAATAGAGGATATAACTTGAGTTCTGTTTTTGTTACAGTTGTATCATCAAGTCTATGATGAGAGGGCTAAGGAAGCTTCATTACAGTTAGTTGGCATAGTAACGTACTATGGCAAACACTATTCAACATTCTTCTTTCATAGCAAACTTCGAACGTGGATTTATTTTGATGATGCCAGAGTCAAAGAGGTGAGGGTGTAATGTGAGTTCCACAAACTGAACCCTGGTTAAAGCACTTTATTCCCTGAATACTGCTTCCTGTACTTGCTCCAAAAATGTCACTTTAAATATACAGTGTACGTGTCCTTGTACTTGTACTTGTACGTTGAAGAACTGTTTGCTCTTACAGAAAAACAACAACAAAAAATGGCGCCTAGCTCTACCATGTGTTCTCCGGTCACATGACTATCATGTGACCGGAGGTGCGAACCAAAACGCAGATATGCAAATAAAAACAAAACAAAAAAAAAAAAGGGAAAAAATAAAACAAATAGAATAAAATAAACTGACGACGGTCGGTAGTTACACCGGCCCCTAAATGAGAATGCACCGACAGCAATCTCATTTACAAACATAAGCTACCGACTACAACTAAACACAACGTTATAAAGGAATGATTAGAATCACTGTTCATGACTATCAAAGCCAATGTTCATATCAACGTTCATTAAATCATCTCCTTGCACTGCTGCAAAGTCACTTAAACTGGTCCTACTCTATCGGCCACTCCATCCATCTCCAGAAAACATAACTTTGTAACTGGGCGTGTAAGTATGGTGGTACTGGCTGCGGTCACAGGTTCTCTTCTGTACCGTCGTTTGGCACATGTCGCTACTGTTGCACTTGTCTTCACCTTCACTGCGCGCACCCACCCATCGCGGCTCACAATAACTTCCACGACTCTTCCAAGCGGCCACTTCCCTCTGGAAAAGGTTTCGTCTGCTACAAGCACCAAGTCACCAATTTGTAAATTCCTTTTTGGCTCAGTCCACTTCTTCCTGTCTAACAGAGTGGGCAGGTACTCCCTCGTCCACCTACGCCAGAACAAATTGGCAAGATACTGCGCTTGCCTCCAAGCACGTCTGCAGGTGAGGTCGTCCTTGTCGAAGACCCCTGGAGGTACACTTGGGCACGGGCGCAGATGCAACAAATGATTAGGGGTTAATGGTTGCTCGTCTAAAGGACTGTCGCTATTTCTTGAGAGGGGTCTGGAATTGAGAATATTCGTCACCTCTGCCAAAACGGTTGAGAGGACCTCATCGGAGACTACCTGCTCCTTCAACATCGCTCGCAAGATCTGGCGCACAGAACGTATCATCCGCTCCCAGATGCCGCCCATGTGGCTCGCCGCTGGTGGATTGAAAATCCATTCTATCATCCTCTGTCCACAAAAACTGTTGATCTTCTGCTGATTCCATCCCTCTATGGCTTCCTTTAACTCCCTTTCTGCGCTAGTAAAGTTTGTACCTCGATCACTTCTTATCCGCTCAGGACAACCACGAATACTGATGAATCTTCTGAGTGCATTTATCATTGAGTCAGTGTCCAAGGAATGGGCCACTTCTATATGGACCGCTCGCATTGTCAAACACGTAAATAGGCGTCCATACCTTTTCACATGGGATCTGCCCTGCTTTACTTCAATCGGCCCGAAATAATCGACGCCAACAAATGTGAATGGTGGCTTGTTAGGGGTTAGCCTCTCTTCAGGTAAATTTGCCATAAACTGCTCTCCCGGGCGTGTGTTTCTTCGCTGACAGTCTATACATCTCCTTAACACTCGTCGCACTGCTGACCTTCCTTTGACCACCCAGAATGTTTCTCTTAAAGAAGACAAAACACATTCTTGACCCATGTGACCCAAACTCTCATGATACTGCTTGATAATCAGATCCGTCACATGATGCTTGTAGGGAAGGATAATAGGGTGTTTCTTCTCATAAGGAACCGGGGCAAGTGCTAGTCGGCCACGAACCCTCAGCAAACCATCCTCTAAGCGTGGGTTGAGCTGATGCAACGCCGTTCCTGCCTTTCGAAGGACCCTTTTAACACAACCATCTGCATCGCAACTTCCTGCTGATGAGAGAACCTCGATGACTTGAGGAAAAGACACTTGCTGTACTTCCTTGAGGATTTCCTTCTCGGCCTCCTGAAGCTCTGCCACCTTCAAGTAGCCATATTTCACGAATGGCACTTCGCCGCTCTGGACTTGGCATTCACTCGAAACTAAAGTGCTCCTCTTACTCAGCTGAGCTTTCAGTAAAAGGTACGCCTTGTACCGCAACAACCAGGCTACAGCCCTTTTCAACTTCCACCAAGACGAGTAGCGTGCTATTAAGGGCTCCAGGTATTTACTTTGAACAACAACAGTGTAAATCTGAGTCTCCTTCCTGACTTCAGGGTCGTCATCTTTCAATGCTGGAATTTCAACCATCCTTGGCCAGAGGCTCTCATTTCCCCAAAGAAACTCCGGACCTCTCAACCAGCGATCATTTTTTAACATGTCATCCAATTTAAGTCCCTTTGAGCCATCATCTGCAGGATTGTTATCTCTGTTTACATAATGCCACTCGGAGTGGGAAGATCCATTATGTATCACCGTCAAACGATTGGATTCGAACGTGTGGAATCTTTTTGATTCGTTGCTGATACACTTCAACACTGACATTGAATCGGTCCAGTAGGACACTTTCTGGAAGTTCATATCCAATTCTTCACGGATAATCTTAGAGAGTTTCACGGAGATGACTGCAGCTGTCAATTCCAACCTTGGAATTGAAATCTCGCGCACTGGGGCTAACCTGGCCTTTCCCATTTCGAATGCACAATGAATTCGACTGTTCTCGTCCTTCACACGGAGGTATGCAACCGATGTGTATCCTTGACGAGATGCGTCTGAGAAAAGATGTAACTGTACTTCTCTTACTTCGCCAAACTCTCTGGGTCTGAAACAATGATCTACTTGCACTTCATGTAACTTGGGAAGATCATCCAGCCATCGCCTCCACTGGATTTTCTCAGCCTCCCCAATGAGATCATCCCAACCAACGTTCTTTCTACTAAGGGCTTGCAACAACAGTTTGGCTTTCATGATGTATGGTGCAATAAAACCCAGGGGATCAAATAGACAATAAACAGCTGACACTATTCCTCTGCGTGTCATTGGCCGCTGGTTAGCAACTTGAAGGATCTTCTCCAAGACCTCCCACACAAATTTGTCTTCCTCTGTGTTCCATTTGAGACCTAGAGCAGATTCGGTCGGCAATTTCTCTAAGTCCAAGTTTGCAAATGACTTAGCCCTTTCAGATTCTGGAATCGCTGCTAGCACATCTCTGTCATTGCTATACCACTTTGTCAAATGGAAACCACCTCTTCTTAGTAGCTCCTGGAGTTGACTCACCAGCACAACTGCCTTCTCGGTAGTGTTTGTTGACTTCATCATGTCGTCCACATACATGTTACGCTTGACCGTTTCCACTGCCTGTTCCTCGAACCCTTCTCCATGTAACTCGGCGGTTTTTTTCAAACAGAAATTAGCAATACTCGGGGAAGATGTGGCTCCAAATAGGTGCTTCACCATTCTATATTCTTCAAATTCTCGAGACAAGTCTCCATTGAGCCACCACAAAAATCTAAGTGCGTCACAGTCCTTAGGTTCCACCAACACCTGATGGAACATCGCTTCAATGTCAGCTACCACTCCAATGGGCTCTTGTCTAAACCGACTAAGGACACCCACTAATTGATTTGTTTGATCAGGTCCTTGTAAAAGTTGTTGATTCAATGATGTTCCTCCGTACTTGGCAGCACAATCATAAACTACTCTCACTTTGCCGGGTTTTAAGGGGTGAGTTACGGGATGATGAGGTAGGTACCACACCGGTCTGTCCTTTATCTCTAACTCTTCATCGGGGACCTTTTCAGCGTGGCCACTTTCAATGTAATCAGCCATTGTTGTCTTGTATTTCTCCAACAAGGCTTCGTCTTTCAGGAGTCGTTTCTTTAGAAGCAAACCTCTTCGCTCTGCAACTACCCTGTTGTTAGGTAAAAATGGTGGCTCATGTCGCCAAGGCAGGGCAACCTGAAAGTGTCCATCTATCATCTTAAGAGTTCTCTCCATTATTTCTAGGGCCCTTTTGTCTTCCAACGATGCACAAACTCGCGTCTCGACTTCACAGTTTTCAAAATCTGTTCTCCACAGTCGCTCCAACTGCTGACTAAGCTCATCGTCCCGAGCTTGACGATCAATTTCATCTATCTGTAAACGATACTTGGGTTCACTGGCATTACATTCTAATTCAAGGACACAGTTCATGTCTGCAACATTCTCTTCATAGGCATCTTCACTGTTTAGCCCTGTAGACAACACAACACTCTTCTTGTGGTCTTTGCAAAGAACATAATCTTCAAAATCTAAACCACCTGCGCACACAACAGAGCTATCTTCCATACGTAGGTAGTTGACTGAGCGTTCGGCAGTACAGCTTTCTCCACCAACAGGACCTATCACCGTCCATCCCAGGCTGTACCTAATTGCTATTGGTTCTCCTTTGCCACCAGCTCGGCATTCTGACGGCAAGAACAAGCTTGGGTTGTCTTTAAGACCAACAATTAACATGACACTTGTGATGTCCAACTGTCGTAACTCAATATCACGCAAATGAGGCCAATTTTCAAGGTCCTCCTTCTTGGCTATACAGCTCTCAGTTATAGGCATATGCTTGACTGTCCTGACGCTTGAAAGTTCCACTGTCACTGATTCATCCATTGACATCACCACAAGATCTACTTGTTGACTTTCCACTCTGGCTGAGCCCGTCATCCCTGCTAAAGTGAAGTCCAGCCTCGTGCCGCTTGCACCCAATGTCTCCTTCAACTTTTCATGACAAAGAGTCACTTCTGAGCCACTGTCCAACAACGCATATGTTTCAACAGGTATCAAATTGCTACCTTTGGCTAGGACCTTGACTGGAACAACACTAAGACAGACTCGCTCGCCGGCCCCAGTTGCAGCAGTTACGGCAGCACCTTCACTAGTTACTCCACTGGTTTCACTGTTGGTGTTCGCCCTTGATTCTTCCTGATTAAGCTGGCGTGGATTAACACTTGGTGGGGTTGAATCTGCTGGAGGGGGGTGTAGCAGTGTGTTGTGTTCCTTCTTACATCCATTCACTTGACATTTGAACTGAGTTTTGGGGCAGTTTCTTGCAAAATGACCGCTCTGGAGACACTTGATACAAAGGCTTTGTTCATGTACTACTTTCCATCTGTCTTGATGAGATTGCTTCTTAAACTTATCACACCTCCACAATCCATGCCGACCACGACAAACGGTACAAGCAGGCATTTTTTGGTTGTGTCCCCCATTTCCCTGTCGACCTCGGACACCTCCAGATAGTGACACAAGTCTTCGAGGATTTCGACCTCGTTGGTCTCTCCGATTCACATTCTCCCTTTCCTTCGAAGGAGCAGCGTTAAGATCCTCTCCAAACTCATTATTAACAAGCGCAGCTCTGTCCTTTAAGTGTTTAAGGAAGTCTGCAAACTTAGGTTTCGATCCAAATGAAATAATCCTTCCTGCACATTCTGTCCACTTGACCCTCATAAACAGTGGCAGCTTCTTGTTCAGTTCCCTTAACGTATTCGTGTGATTCAAATCACTGACGTATTCAGGCCCCATGCCTGACAGTGTTCTATTGGCAACATCTAAATGGCGGGCAAATTCAAGTAAACTTGCCCCATTCGCCTGTTTCAAGGGAGGTAGGTCTTCCAACTTCTTGATATGTGCTTTGGCTATGATGTGAGGCAGTCCAAAGTTTTCGCGTAAGGTATTCTTAGCTACATAATATCCCTCGTCTACTGGTAGATTCACACAACTTTCAATGGCATCCCTTGCCTTGCCATAACAGTGTTGGATTAATAGCTGTAATCTCCTGGAGTTGTCGAGGTTATCTTTCTCTAAGCAGGTTTCAAAATTGTGCATGAACGAGACATACTTTATGGGGTCTCCATCGAATCTCATGTACTCAATCCTTGGGGCAGAAACAACTTGACGCAGTGCTTGTACTATCTCTGCTCTGCTATCTGGTGTCACCGATACTGGTTCTCGCATATAACATTCTGCTGGGACTGCACCAGGGGTCTGGGACCAGGGTACCTGAGTTGGCCATTGTGAGTACTCTTTGGTGTTAAAGTGGGTTGTTAATGGTGTCTGTACTTGTTGTGATAAATTTAGCACTGATGGATTTACAGGCGGATTTCTCAATGCTTCAGTGTCCTTTGCGTTATTCAGTTGCTCTGTATGTTTACCTGTTCCAGCTTCATCAACATAAACTGTATGCTCGGTTTCTGAGAACACTGGGTTGGGCACTGTAACGCTTGCTGACTGAAATGTCTTAGCAGCTGAATTCATGATTCTCTCATTGTCTCTTAATGCAGGCACCTGCTCCAGAGGTGCAAGCTCTTGTACTAGTTGTTCGTGTGGCTCGATTAGCTGCGACTGAGCCACATTCTGTGCCTGATTCCCATGTGGATGTAAGGTTTCCTCAGGTATAAACTCTGCTAAACGCTCCCTATACTGACTCTTCCTGCATTGATTCTCAAACTCTTCATACACATTAAGACTCGCTTTAGCCCGCTCTTCCTCCATCTTAGCCTCCAACATGTCCTTCTCAAATTGAAGCTCACTTAATTTGCGTTGTAACTGTTGTTCCTGCAGCACTTGCTTGGTCTTCAGTTGGGCTAGGGCAAGTTTTTCCTTTTTCTTCGCCACTGCTAATGAAGCTGAACTTGAGCCAGTTGACCCGCTTTTCGTACTCTTCCTTGACTTTCTTGGATAGGATTTTAAGTCATTCTCTCGTTTCTTAATACTAGATGTGACTTGGAATTTCCATGTTTCAATTTCATTGTCAAATGTTGCTTTCTTTGACATCTGCTCCTTGTAGTTAGCGTCAGCCCTTTCAACGTCTTCACAACGACTAAGAACATCAAGACATTCAATGTACTCTTCATGGGTGTTCACGAATCTCCTCCAAGCTTCTTCATACGAATCTCGCTTTAATTGTAAGTCCTCCAAAGTTCCACAGTTCTCAATTATGCCTTGAATGTTCCCTCGCAGTCTCGTGAGGGTTGCAACATAACCTGCACAGGAATATTTCAATGTGTTTGCCCTCTCAGCTGTTCTACTTTCAAAATCTATATTAGATGGTACTTTAACTCGGGAACTTCTTCTTAATTGGGTTCCAAGTCTGCCCTCTGACAGAGTTTCCTGGACATTTTGTTGTTCCAGTTTGTCAGCAACAGGCACTGATCGAACAGACATTTTGCTCCACTGTACTATTGGCCACAAAACAAATAAACTCCAAACACAAACAAGATAGCTATTGTCACATACCTTAGACATCCACTATTTTCTCTGATAGCAAATAAGTAATATAAAGGTCCCACACAAGTCTCAAAGGTTGTACATGTAAAACAATTCTCGCAAAGCAACGAGCGTGATGCAGTGTCAAATAACACGAAAATCGTACGCATAAACCAATGTTCTCCCCGAGAACAAAACGATCCAAAACGTTTCCAAACAACTGAATGAGCAACAAATCCACACGTGAATAAGACCAATCTCTGTTAGAATATCGTTCTCCGCGAAGAATTGAACTAGACGTAAGCTTGAATCATCCGTAGACGTGGACACAATTCCAATGAACGCGACAAAGTTCCAAATGCGACAAATCACAACAAATTCTTGTCAAATAAATGTTCTCCCTGAGAACAAAACAATCCAAACGTTCCCACACACTTGAATGAGCAACAAATCCAGACGTAAATAAGAACCAATCCCTGTTAGAATATCGTTCTCCGCGAAGAATTGAACTAGACGTAAGCTTGAATAATCCGTAGATGTGGACAATTCCAATGAACGCGACAAAGTTCCAAATGCGACAAATCACAACAAATTCTTGTCAAATAAATGTTCTCCCTGAGAACAAAACGATCCAAATGCAAATGCGAAAAATGACAGATAAATCCTTACTTGATGCCGTGCTTTCCTTGAAAGCAAGTTCCAAATCCGATCAATGAAATTCAAACTCGTCGAAGCTGTGTTCTTCCTGAGAACCCAAACATCAATCGATTCGGCGAACAGTTCTTCAACTGTGAGTTCCACAAACTGAACCCTGGTTAAAGCACTTTATTCCCTGAATACTGCTTCCTGTACTTGCTCCAAAAATGTCACTTTAAATATACAGTGTACGTGTCCTTGTACTTGTACTTGTACGTTGAAGAACTGTTTGCTCTTGCAGAAAAACAACAACAAAAAAATGGCGCCTAGCTCTACCATGTGCTCTCCGGTCACATGACTATCATGTGACCGGAAGTGCGAACCAAAACGCAGATATGCAAATAAAAACAAAACAAAAAAAAAGGGGGGGGAATAAAACAAATAGAATAAAATAAACTGACGACGGTCGGTAGTTACAGGGTGTAAACTGTTCTAATCACAACTGATATGATTACAGAAAGTCAGATGAAGTGAACTTCTGTTACAAGTAAACCACTATGTATAAAAAAGAAAATACTTAAAAGAAACACCGTGACATTTTTTGTTTAATGAAAGAAAAAACTAGAAGCAAGGCTGCCCATCACTTTTTCGCCAACACAAAATAAAACGTATTCAAGTACAACTGACTTCTTACAGTGCACGCAATGATGTGAAGTTCAGTGTTACTTTTACATGTTGCATACTCTCCAGTTGCATAAAAAACAGTTTAATACACTGTACTTATCATGAAAGTACTAACTGAGCACATTACTTTTACATCCCCTAATTGAGACGGAACCGTCATTGTACGTAGCCATCCTAGCTACGCGAAGAGCTGACCAACGGCAGTGCTGTGTTTACTTGAAGAAGCGCTTACTAATTTTTTCCCGCCTCAAATGCGGGAATTACGGTCAAGACGCCCGAAAGTCATTTCGCCCGAAGTCATGTCACCAGAAGCCAGGGTCATGTCGCCCGAAATTGCGGGCGACATGACTTAGGATTTCGGGCGACATGACTATGTATTTCGGGCAACATGACGCTGGTTCATGGCGATATGACTTCGGGCGAGATGACTTTCGGGCGACTTGACCGGTTACCAAATGCGGCGCTGATGAAGTAAATATGACGGATACTATCGTTTTGTTTACAACCTGCAGATTGGTCGAGACTGGTCAGTGATGATGGAAAAATGTCGTTTGTGTCACTATCAACCTCTGCTATTACTATACGCCAATCCTGCCGGTACTCCAATAAGTGCTGAGTCAGCACCTAAAGAGACAATCCTCATCAATGGAATAACACGTAAGAAAGATGCACATCATTCTAGTAAGCGTGCTATGAGTGACAGAGAGGCAGGTGATGGTGTTAGCGATGGTGAAAAGAGCCCTGTTGGATCAAAAAAGGGAAGGTTACGATCCAAGGGGAAAGATGAGAAGCGGTCGTTGAAATCCAAGAAAAGCCTTTCCGCTAGTGATCTAACTGAACCAAGCAAGCATCTCTTTCGCTCACCCAGTAATGCGTCGGATTCTGGTGCTACCAGTCAGAGGAAGGAAAAACATCGGCCAAGCTTTAGGCGGATTGGAAATGCTATAATGAATGTAGTTAATCCTGCTCTGGCGGTGTCGCATTTGAAGCAGGGAAAAAAGAAGAACAGTCATAAAGCAAGTCGAAGATCATCAACTGGATCAGGGAGTGAATCCAGTGGGGAACATGATCTTATAGATCTGAGGTAGGGTTATCTGTCTCATGGCAGTTTAGTTTAGTGCTCTTCGTTAATTTGTTTTATCAATTACTTGCTATGAACCTGCAACACGTATTTGCGTAAGTTTGAAATATACGCACGTGCATCGATGTTCGCACGTGCATGGCACGTGCTATGTTCACACTGTACCGGACGAATTTTCGATCGAAAATTTGACCGAACATCACACGGAACCTTCCAATATTTTCGCCAATTTTACACTGAACTGAAAAACCAGGTTGAATATTTTCAAGTAGCAGCGTTCTAGTTACGCAGTCTGGCGTACTGACTGTATATTTAACTGTAAGTGCTTTTCCTATATATACGCGCCGGCTAGATAGTAGGATGCCTCCTACCTAGACGTTCTTAGGGATTCGTCACGCGTTCCTTTCCCACGAACGGAGGATTGCCTGACGAGCCGAAAGAACGTCTGCAGGGGAGGCTATAATCTCACTGTACCTTGCGTTCAAGCTTAAGTGGCGGAATTTCTTAATTAATGAGTGGTTATTGTAATTTGCGAGCAAGCGCTGCATTTCGAGTAGCGTTACCTATTGGCAGCGGTTAATTCGTTAATCTCCGCAATAAGCAGCGAAAAATACGAGAAAGAGAGGGCCAAAGTGTCACTTACAGTGTAACATCAGACAACCCTACACTATTATTTCACCTGTTTCCTCCTAGCTCCAAGAACGAAGCTGCTAAAATGGAGATCTTAAAACTCTATGAACAGTCTAAAGCGCTGAATGCGGCCCAAGTAGGAGCAGTGAATCATGATAGTGGAATAAGCTCTGCTCCGTCATCAGCTGGTGAATCTGTTAGTTCTACTGACACCAATCATGGAGGAAGCGATGAGGATCTTATTGACTTCAATCAATCATGGCGGCATTCTAGATATGATAACTGGCCCCCTGGTAAGACTTCTTATACTCCACTCTTTTGAACACTCTGAATGCTTTTTTCCAGGGGAGCAATGGTGGAGCAGGGATGGCGCAGTGTTGAGAGTACCCGCCTCCTACCAATTTGGCCCTGGTTTAAAACCCGACGTCTACGCCATATGCGGTTTGAGTTTGTTGTTGGTTTGTAGCAGGTCGTTCTCCCTCCACATCAAATTTATAGTTTTATGTTTAGAAGGTCCCCAATAGGGTTCTTCAATCCCGTAATCCCGACCAAAAATTCCTTGCAATCCCGTAATCCCCAGGGTCATATTTGGCATCCTACCTCCCGCGAACGCCTCGCGCGCATACATTTAATTCCGAGTCCCGCCTCGATTTTGCTTTAAAATCCCGAATCCCGAGCTTCAAATAAGGGAAATCCCGGATACCGAAACATCTATCGGAGACCCTCTGTAAATGCACAAGATTTCAACCCGGGTGGTTTGTGTTTTTATGGTAAGCACCCCTGGTTTTGACTGTTCACACAGTCGAGTTTCTTTACTCCGATAACGCTCGGATTTTTTATAATTACTCTTGCAGTTCATCCGAATGATCGCATTGAAATACTCCTTCAACAAGCCGAGAACTATCTTGCAAATTCAGAGATGTGTGAAACCAACAAGGACTTTGTCAGTGCTTTAAGTTACTGCACTGAAGGAGCCAGTGAGTGATTACTGTTGTTGATAACTTCGCCGCTTTAGAAACCAATAGGAAACTGGGACGAGTTAACTTTGGCAAAGACGTTTGAGACTATTACTAGAGACGAGGAAAAAATTGGCCAATCGCTGATCGATGCAACTCCAGTAACAATCCCAGAGACAACTGCGGGGCGCATCATGTCGGCCTCAGTTCTCTTCTCGTTTCTAAAGTGGCAAATTAATGGGTTTCATTTGTGTGTTTTTTGTCTGACGATATCTTTTTCGGTTTGATCGCGACGTTTCCACGGCTTGTAGGCTTGTGTTGTCGATCTCCTTTGCGGTAAAGAGTGGCTTTATTTGGTACACCTAAAGATCGAGGTTTGGTCATTTTACTGCTAACGAAAAACTGCGTTTTGCGGTTAAAGGTTTCACGTTACCCGTCTGCCCATATTTGGGACTTAAGATTCGCAGGTGGTGGCTCGCGGCTGCCAAGTTTGTTTTCATTCATCCACTTGCTTCTATTTTAGCTGAGAAATTGTCTTCAAAATTATGTTTTTTGACATGGAATTGGATAATGAATAAGCATAATTAGTATATACACACTCAGTGATCTTGGTGATTTAAGCAATCTGATTGGTTCGCTATCTCGGACTATTCAACAATATTCACCTCCTAGCGAGTGGATAATGTGTGAGCTCGGTGTTTTTCCCGTTTTTTTTAGAGAACGATCTTTTAAAAGTCGACAAAATCCTAGGGCTGACTTTTTTTAAGGCAAGAAAAGACTTGGAAGGATTCAATACGGCGTTTTTCAATTTACTGTAGCAGGAGTTTTGTGCTCGATGGATTGTTTACAACTCCCGTGTATTGTCTGTATTCGCGTAGAAGAAGCCGTTTCGTGAACTCAGCGTTTTCTAAGAAGAAAATTTTGACTCAAAAATCGAAGTTTATTTATGAAAAACAAATTTAAAAGGAAATGTTTGCAGAAATTCTACATTTCAAGTAAACAGGAAAAAGAATGATACAGGAAGACGACCTCTTACTTCGAGCAACCGAGCCGCCATTTTTGTCAGCACTTCACGCGAAGAACGACACAACATGCCCTTTTGGCTATAAACTTGGCGTGTCAACAGAAAACAACACAGCTCTACTTTTTTTCTCAGGTAAGGAAACAGTTCAAACTTTTAGCGATTCCATTGAAGCCATTACGCTGTTGTTTGCGAAATGAGTAAACTTGTGAATTGCCATGTTTGAAAATTCTGCAAAGATCTATTTTTAAACTTACGCGTGATTTGATCTGTCAATCAAATCCTACTTTTGAATGGTTTCCTTTCTGATTTTGTTGAGATCACTTCGTGTGTATATACTAAAACAATTATTCTTCTCAATCTCGGTGAATAGTGGCTTTGGGAATATTTACCTCGCCGCTTTCGCGGCTCGGTAAATATTTTGCCACTATTCACCTCGATTTCAAAGAATAATTGTTAAGAATTCGAAAAAGTTGTATTTCTTCTCAAACGCGTTATTGTGATGTTTTAGGGTGCAAAAAACCTTGCGGTAAATCACTTACAAGGTCTTTCTTGTTTAAAAAAATTCGGGCGTTGTCTTACTGGATGTAGTAGCAGAGTACAGACCAATAATGTTCTCGGTCAATAAACTTAGATTTTTTTCAAAGTTCAGCTTCTGACATGACAGTTGGCCTGCAAGAAAGCTCTCCATTTTGAGTGGCGAGCGAAAGGAGCCGCGACAGAAAGTGCTTCCAAGCGGCTTTGCTACGCCTGCCACTCGTGCGTGACTTCTCACGATATCCCCAAGAGAGAGCTTTCTTGCAGGCTACGTGATAATCATTAAGGACCTTAAGCAACAAGAATGTAGACTTCCCGGACGTCAAAAAATGGCAAGCGGAAAATTTTCTATCGTTCAATGCTCTGACGCGACAAATTCGTAAGGTGGGTGTTGAAAAACATAGGCATTCCGATTTGTTGTGTTAGACAAAAGCGTTCGATCAAGCAAACATCGAACTTCCGCTTGCTATTCATAACGTCCGGGACGTCAGCGTTCTGGTTGCTTAAGCTCTCTATTGCATCGGTAGACCGTAATAGTTTAAACTTGCTAAAATAACCATTCAAACTTGTGATCACTAATCCCTTTGAATTTATTCCAGGTCTATATAGGCGTGTTTTAGAAGAACCAGGTGTAGACCTGAACACGAAGCACTTCGCTTCAATGAAAAGGAATGCGTGCATGGCTAGAGCCAGGAACTTACGACATTTTGTCCAGTCACCCCATGACAACAGAAACACTTCTGTTAGGTATGCACCTCGTGTGTATTTTAATCTGATGGTATTATTTTTTTAAGTTTCTGGCAGAAGCCTATAACCAACCTCCATTAAGCGACACTTGCCGATAGCCTGAGAGTGGCCCCGGAGGTGGGGGGGGGGTTTACTCCTGGGAATTCTTGGTGGGGGTGTGTCGCCCGGTTCTCCAAATCCTGACCCTATTTCAGACCAAAAAATGTCATTTTCAACACCCGTTTTCAGACCTGGCCTTTAGGCAGAAATTATGTCATCATTACTTAGATTAGAGCGCAAACAAAAAATTTCTTCAAATGCCTTTCGAATTGGCCTATTTCTGTTTCTTTCTTATTCATTTGGAATTGAAACAATAAATACGTTCATACGCTCCCGTAGTTCCCTCGAAAACCATACCCGATTCCAGACCAAAATGGGAGTACCTCCCCCCGGGGAGTGGCCGCTTAAAGGAGGTTTAACTGTACAGTGGAAGCTCTGCTAACGGACACTCTCGTAAGCGGACAGCTCTACGAGCGGCCACCTTCACAATAACCTCGTTTTACCCAATTCCCATACAAACTTTGTATTTTTACATTCCCGTAAGCGGCCAGCTCCACATGCGGACACCTTTTTTACGTCCAGTTTATTTTGAAGATACATTTTAGAGCACTTCTCCCGCGGCATGGGAGCTCTTCTCCTTCTAAAATCGCTTTCGAAGTATATGATATAAAAAAGGTAAAACTAAACGTTATAACAAAAGTCAGAAATACCATTTCAGTTCTGTAGGCTCTGCTTACTTGTTTATGGGACTTTAAAGGTAGTTTAAATTCGCGCCAAAATTGTTCTGAAAATAAAGTGGTCGATTAAAACGCCGTGATACGAGTACGTTGAAGTTGCATGATAATTGCAGCAAAGCGTTACTTATGATTGGTTAGTGGTTGAGCACCATCGACCAATCATAGCTTACGCTTATTTACCCAAACGATCCCAGATATCACTGCACCCAAGGTTTGCACATATCCTCCTTACAGTTTCTGAAGTGAGCAATTTTGATTACACTCGAGGTTCAATCAATATGGGACAGGCACAGAGCCCAGCATATTCAAAAGCACATCGTGGTTTTCCTTTTGAAATCGATTGCCAAAATCGAATGTAATCCGTGTATTTGATTACTACTAATTTCTTTTACAGTCTTTCGAAGCAAAGAGAGGAAGAACTTCTTCATCAACAACGACAAAGAGATCATATGATTATGAGGCAGCAGCAGCAATTTCAGCAGCAGGTCCCCCCGCCACAATACGTATGTACAACAAGGACAACAGTCACTTAATTTATATACGGAAAGAAAGAAATCACCAGGGAGGCACAAGAAAAATTATCAAGAATTAACTAGCTAAAGGGGAAACAGCGCAGGGGAGAACGCCTTAACCTTCGCCCCATGCTTACTTGAGCGACTTATTTTTTACTTCATCTTAGCTAGTTCCTTGGCTATAGGGTTCAGTTTGTGGGTTAAAAAATAATATAGAACGCTCGCGTTTACTTTTCTGTATCCCTTTCTATTGTTGCTTTTCTATTGTTGTTTACAGTTTTCTTCAATTACAATAAAATATACGAAGATATTTTATTCCATTTCACGGGCAGTTGTTGAATTACTGCGAAGCAACTCGCGACGCGAGGATGACGCAGAGACCTATAAAAGGCGGGAAAATTTGCGCGCAATTCAAGCATTGTTGTGGCTTTTGATTATACGAATCATTTTTCTCACACGTGAAAACACATCGTTGTCGATTCTGATTGGCTAGAACTCATGATCTGCGTATGAAAATGTACGCTTTTTAGTATGAATATAATAAATTTACTTTATTCATTTTCTATTGACAGACATCCCTGCAACGAAGAGGTCGGTTTGTGAATGAGAAACCAGCCCCTCAAGTTGGATTGCAGAGAGTTATTGAGGTGCCCGTCTGTAGTTCTAGTCAGAATGGAGGGCAAGACCGAAACTACGCGGATGAACAGTACGTGGCCTCCACTCTTCCTCTTAAAGTTAAAGCCAAGCCCATGGTGTATTCAAGTGGTCATTACGTAAGTAAAGCTCAACAGGACAAACTCGGCCCCAGTAGGGTAGCATCAGTGGTTTGCTCACAACAGATTAAACCGGATTCACTGTGTTATAACCCAGTGCATTATGACCGTGAAAGCGAGATCGCTGCGAGGATACAGAACATTAATCTCAATTCTTCTAGACCGAAAACGAACGAAGAATATACGACAGTTATCTCTGTTGGCGACAACAGGCCGAAGATTTCCGAAAACCGCCACTCGCGTCCTTCTCCGGTGGAACAGAGGCGGGTGTTGAGTTCGGTGTATATTTCGCCTTCAAATTCATCAAACTCTAGAACTGTACCCACTGCTTCGTATAACCCTACAGTCTATAGAAGCAACGGCACTCGAAGTCCTCCAACTATCACTGCTGTCCGTCCCAGACCCAAGGTATTTTACGCGGGAAATTCAGCGGCTGGCACGAACTCGTCAACTCGAGATCGGTCCCCGTCTCCTGCGCGGTCAGTGGATGAGTTAGATTATATTCATTCAAACCGCGGTGCTTATGGTCCGCGGCCTCATGACTATGTACCTGCTCCTCCATATAATTCACTTCATCAGCGAGAACAGCTCAAGAGTTATTCAACCTCGTCGTTATCCAAGCCTCGTTGGTATCACAACTCGCCGGACGATTCTGTTGCAAACAATAGTCGCGATTTCCGACCAGTGTCGGCGCGTGTTATCACGGATCGGCCAGTTTGCGAAAAATGCCGATGTATACCGATTGATAGGCGACAAAGATTATGTGCTGGCTGTGAACAAGAATTGCGCCAGATGCACTCAAATACTCCGAGATTTTACTGAGGCCAAAACTGAAAGGGAAAATTTTCACACTGGAGACGAAGTTGTTAAGCTTTTAGTCGAAAAAAAAAGTTATATTTATTTTGGTAGGAACCTTCAAACCCCTATGACGTTGGATTTGTGAAGTTACTTTTCCCTTGTGCTTCGAAGAAAGGTATAATAACAAGGCCTTAAGCTTTTTGCTATGTTCACTCAAACAGCGGTACTAGTGATACATACATGAGAATAAAAGCATAAATGAAGTATAAGCTATCATTTAAAGCCTCGAGACACGGTAAATAACGATATTTAGTTTGCAGAAATTAAGGGCGATGGAAGTGGATTCTGTATCTGCTTCTTTCTGCCGACTCTTGTCGTCTACACGAAAATCAACGCAGCGGTCAAAGCAGTTTGAGTGAACATGACATTTGCTTCCCACGCAGACGTTCTTAGGGGCTGGTCACGCGTTACTCGAACCTATAAGAACGTCTGCATGGGAGGCTAACATGGCATGTGAACGGTCGTGAAGGGTCTGACGATAAAGCCTTTAAACTATGTTTTAGGGTAGCGAGATTATTTGACACTCTGGGTCAGGTAATAGATATTTTCTGAAGTGGTGGTGGATGATAGTGGATATCTACTATGGCACGGAGGATATCCACTTTGTAACAAAGACATTTTGTCACTAAGATGACGTACGGGGTTAAAAGTTAGAGGTGTGTATATGGAGCTTTGTCAGATGTTTGACTGGGTGGTTATTTTTCTACGGCAGTTGGAATCTTCCAGTTCAAACCCTTAAGAGCGTTATGTGCCAAATAGATACTAATAATTAGGGGAGAGAGAGCCTGGGAGCGAGGTTGATGTTGTAGTTAATTTTTTATCTGGGGTAATTTTTATTTTTCTTTTGTTTTAACTTCATTAGCATACACTACCATACCCAAAAACAAAAGGAAAACAAAAATTACCTGAGATAAAAATGAACTACAACATATACACGTGGTATTTGAAAAGCAGACTGATAAAGACCATAAACCGTGAATGACACGACACAATATTAACTTAATGGGACATTGCAGGAATAACACCGATTTACGCGCGCTGAAAGTGGTTTCTTCGCTCTAGTGCTGTGTACTTACAACCTCAAAAATGAAGCTAAAGCTTGTGTGGGGCGGTTCCCTGGGGTAGTCAAACCCTGAGCCTGTTTAAGACGAAATCTTGTCATTTTTGCACCCTGTTTTTTAAGACCATTGTTTTCAAATATTTGTGTTTCGGCCGGATTGACCCGCGAGTCATTTAAAATTTTGATTTTGTGAAGCGTCCTTCACAGAAGTCTACTCGGGTGCAAGCACCTTGTCACTTGGTCTAGCTGTATCCAGTTAATTAACTCCTCTTATTATATAAAGACCAATGAAATACCAGGTTAGCTTTCGCGCGAAAACTTGATATCTTCACAAGTGAAAATAACATGTTAAACCTCACCGTTGCTATGGCTACATTATAAATCGCGCCTTTTACACCAAAAACCTATTAAAGTGAAATAGTTTGGTAGTTCATTGGTGTTTATATAATAAATAATTATATAATTACATGGCCTCTTAGAGATACGAAATTTCTCTTCTCGTGTTCGGAAAATATTTCACTCGTTCGCTGCGCTCACTCGTGAAATCTTTTTCAACACTCGAAGAGAAATTTCGTATCTCCAAGTGGCCATTTAATATCCTCTGTATAGAGCGTCCTAAAAGAAACAATCATCTAGTGAAGATGTATTTCTTGGACCTAGAAATTCAGCGGGACGTCCACGGTTAGGCCAATTTAGCGAGTCCCCCCACCCTGCCCCCCTCGGGACTGCTTCGCCGGAAAATATTGTGATCTGTCAAGAGCCCAGAACGAGGGCTCCCGGGTCTGTATATTTTGTATCGCGTTGTTGTAAAGGTGACTTTCTAGCGTAGTTATGTGATACACTGCCTGGGCACGTAGTCACCGAGTATTAAATATGTACAATTATTTGATCTCACCAGTGAGATGAAAAGGAGGTGTTTACACCATTAAGCTCATTGTAAATATAATGAAAAAATAAAGTTTTGTTTTTGTAGTACATATATCAAGTAGATTCAATCTCGCGTGTTAAACCTGCGGTCTGAATAACGAATAGCTTCTATTTTGCTGTCTCTCAATGATACCCTCCGCAGGGTTGGCACGGTCAGGGAAAGTCAGGGAATTCTGTTTTGGCGTTTATAGTTCATAAGTTTTCTTCAAGACTTTGAAATGCATTTTCTTTCGGAAAAGATGAAAGTATGCTGCAGAGCAAGCAAAGCGATCAGTTTGACATTTAACGTCTGACATATGTAGTTGTGGTCGGTTGTTGTCATTGTGAGAGCTTTCTTCCAAATTCCTTCTTCCTCTTCCTGAGAAAGGGAGGTTGAAAATGAAAAGAAAAAAAAGCGATGGCCTGCAAACTGTTTAAAGGTCAGCTAAAAGTCAGGGAATTTTTAACTTTCTGATGAGGTTTATGGCGTCAAAATGTGTAAGAACAAAACAGTTGATGACTGATATTCTTCTTTTGTATATACTAAAACAGTGGATAGTGTTTTTCGCGCGCTCTGATTGACTACTCAATCAGTGAATATCCATTGTTAGTATACACATGTTGAAGCTAATTTTTCATCTCAGTTAATTTTAGTATATTGTTGGGTATAGTAATGTATGCTAATGAAATTGAAACAAAGGAAAAATAAAAATTAACTGAGATAAAAAATTAACTACAACATACAGACTCAGTGATCTTGGTTTTAGCAATGTGATTGGTTCGCTATCTCGGACTACTCAACAATATTCACCTCCTACCCACCCTGACGATGGAACCGGTGCCCGAGAGTGGCAACATGTCTAACAGGACTCATTAGAAAATTCCAGGCGATACTGATTTTTTTGTCGTAATGCTAAAATTTGAGGGAGCTAGATCTTTTTTCAAGTCACAGTTTCTTGGTAACAAAATGTGAAAAACACAACCTCCTAATAAGATATGTAGAAAAACTTCGAATATCTCAGATGAGTGAACGGTTATTCCTGCCTCAAGCTTAAGAAATTTCCAGGCAAATTAAAGATTTGTTTCTCCGAACACGCCTGCAGCTATTTTACAGAAAAAACTTACAAAATTCAACTAAAATCAGTCTGGCATGCTTCTGGAAATTAAAGGTAAGAAAATTTGGAATAATTTTAAAATAAACAATGACTAGACTAATGAATCTACTTAAAAACGTCCATAGCTACAAAGAGTGTTACGTTAACAAGAGTAATTCTATTAAAAGTCTGCATGCATAAGCTGATGGATAATTTCACGGATTATTGGACTGTTTGCATTCGCCGGATGAATTTTTTTAAGCTTTCTATCATCAAATGAAACAGACAAAAGCTAAAAAACATGTTGTTTTGTAAATGTACCATTTCTTCGTCTAATTAAAATTGGCGAACATTGTTCCATTTTAGACACTCTGGAGCCTGGCAATAGAAATAAGGGGTTTTGTGGCGCCGAATAAATCTTTATTTGAATAAAAATAGGATTGTGGGTACTTGTGACTCTGCAAGAGCTCGTCTATGAATTTCAAACATTTGCCAACAAAATTACGGCATTATAAGAAACCACATCCTTTTTCACTTATATCATACACCAAAGAACTTATTTAAAATTGGATTTGGGAAATTGATTTGATAATTGTTAACACAATATTTTCAGTTTCCGTCGAATTACAGAAGGCTTTTGCCTGTACAAGTTTCAAATAAGCGCAATTTTGAGCAAATGCTGAAAAGGTAGGTTTTTCTTAACCTTTGCTAACAAGATAAAATTTCTTTTTGGTTATTAAGTGAAGAACTTAAACAAACAAAGGTATTGTGTCGTAAAAACAATTCGAGAAATTAACATGTGGCGTGAGAAAACGTCAAAATAAATTAGTACCGGCTTTTACCATGAGATTTTTCGTTCCAAATCATATAAAGAGAGGAATAAAAGATTAAAGCAGAATTTTCATGGACTTGAGAAAAGTTTAAGAGAAGAAGGCATTGCAATAAAATCACAACTATAAATAGGTAAAAAGGCCTTTGTTTCCCATTGCTTCGGCTACTGGCCATAGGAAGGAATTTTAATACTGACAAATTGAAAAAAACTGAAAAAGCCTGGCGATGACCCTTAAAACAACGGAGAGTAGAGAGGGAAGCTCTATAAAAATATATATATATATATATATATATGTATATGTCGGATGCAAAGGAATTTTTCCTTGTGAACGTGGTGTACTTCAAGTTTACTTATCACCTTTCACTCTTTCCGTTTCAGCAAGAACGGAAGCAAGGACAGTAGTGAGAAGTTAAATTTTTTGGCTGTGTGTCATTCGCATCCTCTTTACATCCGAACTCACACTTGTGGAAAAAGCTGTCAAAATCAAGATGATGTGTTCATTTTACATAATTAACACCATGTGCCACAATACATACACTTAATTAAATTACAAGATTAATATCTTTTTGTTCTCTGATTTGCGCTAGCCACTAAAAAGGCACTGCGTGACAATGGCGTTATGTTTCATAGAGATAACGCCATTCACCTTTTATTTCGCCGCGCCTATTCAATTTCTTATACCAATGTCGTAAGAGCCTCGGTGCATGAGTGCAGTTTAGCTGTTGATTATTTCAACAGCCAAAACAAATGTTTACTGAAAGATACCAGAGCGCAATCGCTGGCTGAGCGTTACTTGAGTAAGAACTTGCAACCTATTCTGGTGGAGTTAGACTGAGTGAATCAATGTGAGAATCTTTTCGTCGGCGTTACGAGACATCTCGGTGAAAAGCAGTGAATCAGTTGTGTGTGAGCGGCGGGCAGGCAGCGATGCGATGCGAGTCTTCACAAGGGCAAGAAGATTACGATTTTCACGGAAAGTATGCTTAGTCATAATTCCTGTCGGCTGGCTTACGATTTTTATCACTTTGTCTTTGTACAGTGACCATGAAAATAGCGGTAAGTTTTTGTATTTAGCTTATGCATTTCGTGCTACCATGCGCGTCTTTCTTTCGCAAGTCGCTGTCAAAGTGTTGGTGTCTCTCTAATAACTACTCCACAGGCATGCAGCGAACAAATGTTTCCATAACCGTACAAACTATGCTTGTATACAAACACTGAAATTGTAAAACGTCGCAGTTCATTTACCTCACTTTGAGAGCGGTTTTCTTACCTAAAAAAAGCTAAAGGAAAAGGAACTTGTTAAATGACCTGACCTGATCTTTGCGATGAAGACTAAACCTTTCACAAACCTATGGCTAAATTCATGCGGAAAATTGTGAATTCTTTATCTCTTTCATTGTAAAGTAGCTCTTGCTTTTTAGACAATATCTGCGGGTGACCGAATTCTCTGTAATTGTGGTCGTGTTAAGATATATGTTCTTATTCTAGTAGTTACTAAATATCTGAACAATATTCGTTTGTTTGTGTCCGGAGAGATTTTTACTAATATTGATGCTGACCGCAGTAAGCCCTTATTTGCAATGTCTTATTTGTAAGCTTTCAGGTCGTGCTTTAGTAGCTTAATTTTCATTACAGTAGAGAAAGATTAGTCGAGATTTGTAATCTTTATTTCATATTTAGTGTTCTTTATGCGGCCACGAGTCGCTATTGTTGAAAGTTGTGAAGAAAGATGACGGGAAATTAGATGCGTCTACACGCTTGAAATCCACTCACAACCTTTGCTCTGATCGAGGCTTTTTTAAAAGAAAAAATATATGCTTGGTTAGAGCACTATTTAAGTGATTTTGTTTTTCTCTTGGACCGTTTTAAATATGTTTTTATTGGCTTCGAAGTATGGCTAGAACTCTTCATGTACATGTACAAGATATCTATCTGTGTTGTGAAATTTACCACAACTCGAGGTACAAACGTCGCATGAAGTTGAGTAACTAATTGGGAAAGGAGAACTTTACAGCATACGGATTGGTATTTGGCTGTGTCAATGACCCTTTCTTCGTCTCAAGAAGTTTATAAATGCAAACCAGTTACTTTCAAGTGTCTGTAATCAGTTTGGGAGAGTAACTAATTTGTAAAACATCTGGTAATACAAGTGTCGGCTTCGTGTGTTACAGAACATAATCGTGAATGGACAAAAATTTGCACGGAAGAGATAAGTTTATAGGCAGACGTTTGTGAAAATATTGTATGATTAACTAATGTAGATATGTCCTTCGGTTTGAGTAACGTTTTTTGTTTTATTTTTTAACCTTAGCCGAGTTATCTGAAATTCAGAAGTGCTCTAAAAATGTCGCTTTCTTTCCGTGTACACTTTATCAACGACTGCCGAAAAACAGCGAATAACGACTTAAGTTTAATGGATTTTAAATGAAAACCCTACGATTTCAGAACAAAAAGGATACCGCCATTCATCTTGTAATATGTTTTGTTAGAGAACGTGCTCTTTTTTAAATTATAATACCGAAAACATCTGCTTTGTTTTGAAAACGACTCTGCTAGAAAGTATGCTGGCCAAAACATTCCTTAATAAACTCACTCATTTCCATGTCGAGGTCAAAAGTTTTGAACCTGTTTTTTTCGTTATGAAAGAGAGAGCAGATATTTAATAGCTGGAAATCATTGGAAAAACCCATCAAGATGGGATTGGTTTTCTTATCTAGCAGTTTACATCTGTTGTGTATGGCTTTTTGCATGCCCCAGCTGAATTCACTCTTTTGTCGAAATAATATTGTTACCCCCAGTCGAGAACAGCAATTTCCCTGGGCTGGGCTAAAAATGTTTTGTTTTTTCAGAGCCAATAAAGGCCGAGAAAATTGCGGTAGGTGATTGATTACTAGTATTTTGTGATAAAGAGATTAAGGTTTGCAAACTCACAACCCACGATACCAAAAGCGATACGTTAGCTTTCCGTGTATATCATTTGTCATTGTAATGTCAGAAATTTACCAAAAAAAAACAGTTCCTTTTGCTTTTTATTGCTGTATGTAAATTCCATTATGTTAACAGGGGATTTTTTATTTTTTAGATGGGTTTATGGGAGTGATTTAGTATGACAGAAATCACTTCGAAGTTTTGTCCAACCTCTGTCTTCCTTTAGGCAATAGTTGAGTTCAATCTCTTCCTGTTCGCCGTTCCAACTTTTGTTAATTCATTTTATCGTTCTCAGTGCAGGTTAGTGCTTGAGGATTGTATTTGACTAATCGTCATCACGTTTCAACCAAAATTCTAAGTTTTGTGAAGAAATAATATTTTTGTTTGATGATATACTGTATACAATGGAAGAAATCTTGCTATCAGGCCAAACGTGAGATAAATGGTGATATTTTATCTAATGGCCACTTAACTGATATCTATCATGTATGGAATGTAATATTTTTGTCCCAAAAACAAACCGCACTGCACGAAATTACTGCGAAATAACTCTAGTTCATTTGAATAATGACTTAGGTTCATAGCGGCCTTCAGTTGAAGTAATTTGTTGTTGTAATGCCTATTAATAGGTGTTCAGACGGAAAGAGAAGTACTTTGCAATAGCTTTTACTTTCATAATAATAGGATATGTTTGGTAGTGTCAAAGGGTATGTCTAGCAAAGTGCTTATTTTTTCTTGGTCAAAACGAATGTTGGATACCGATGTCAAGGAAGTACTTGGATAGTATTTAATCCACAAAATCGTTTCCTTGTTTTTTCAGTTGTAACATTCTCGTTAGAGAAAGCATGAAAGTATTGTAGGACAGTATTTGTAGCGTATTTTTTTTATTTGATTTAAAGAAGTCAAACACTGAATGTGAATAACGGTATTGTTGCTGAAAAATCCATGATTATAACTTCGACTTATTATGCCAGTCTTGGTTTAGTTACTGGTGGATAACTGTATGTTTGTAACATGCCCCCATAAAAAGTAGTCCTCTATGGCTGGTGTATGGTATAAGTTTAAAGTAATTTCTTTAGAATTTATCTTAAAACAGACCCATAGTTGAGTGTCTGATATTTACAGGATGAGTAACGAACCTTCATACTCTGTTTCATTTGAATAACTTTATAAAAAGTTATTCGAAGAAGTCAAAGCTTTTGTTATTTTTGTTTCTGTTTCTTTGCTCATACACAAGGATAATTAGCAATCAGTTTTGAACTATATATACAATAAAACTTATAGCCTGCTATACGTTTCAGAAGTACTTTCATGATCTTACTGTAAAACGGACTTGTAAAATAGCTGTTTCTTTAGCAAGAAGTTTCATTTTCTATTTCTTAACGGACGTTAACGTTTAGTTTGGCCTCTAGCCGAAGAAGACAACACGAAATCCATATTTTCCAGTTCGAAGTCGAAAAGAGTAGTTTAGGTGCAGCTCAATACTATGGTGGGCCACAACTGTCACGGCAAAACCAAAAACCTCACGGCAAAAACAAAAACATCACGGCAAAACCAAAAACCTCACGGCAAAAACAAAATACCTCGCGGCAAAACCAAAAACCTCACGGCAAAAACAAAATACCTCACGGCAAAACCAAAAACCTCACTTTCTGAAATCTAAACTTTTAGCTAAGACAAGTTTAATCCATGTAGATGTGCATTGTCCACAAGCTGAGGTTAGGTGGCATGGAATAGCCTGCTTAAAAGATCTGAGCTCGCAGAGTAATTGGTTTAAATAAATAAATCAATGGAATTTCACCATCCTTCATTTTCCACTCAGAAGGCAGTGAATTAGGCTTGATTTACGTAACAAATTATTGCGCGACCAATCTGAACATTCTATCAGCTTTAGTGCCCTTATGTTGTATGAAATCACACTAGGAATCTCTTATTTATCTTACAAACTGAAACAGTGATTCTTTTATTCTAATCTTGCTTAATGTTTTAGATATGGACGAATTTTTTTGCGTTTCAAGCTATGTCTTTATGAAATACATCTACGACTGTTGCACTGTTGAAGGCTATGCATTAATTTTCGCATATTTTTTCATGGTTTGCTCAAGATTGAATTGCAGGGAACTTTGGTGACTCATGGCAGATTTCAAAGTAAAATACAAGAAATTAAGAACGGGGAATCGGAGAAAAGTTGCGATGTCGTGTTCGGACTCCTTACAAGTGGGTTTTCATTCTGGCCTGTTGTTCCGGGGGGACTCCCTAAGACTGCTTATACGGGGAGGCTCCACCCGAAAGGGTTGTCTTTCTTAGGCTTCAGGTATAAGAAAGGGTAGGGATTTAGTTGAAGTCGTTAAAAGGGTAGGGAAATCTGTCATTTAGGTGGGCGAAAGGGCCCAAAAGGGCTACCAGTGAATTTTATGGCTTTATAAAGTCAAGAAAACGTTCTATTTTTGGGATTGATTACTATTGGAAAGACATTGCATTTACAGCAGTTAAAAGTGGTGCAAAATTCTAAACAAGGTATGTGAAAGGGTTATCATTTGTGATTAGAACGTATACGAAAGGAGTACCTTTTTCGTGAAAAATGGTATATAAAAGGGTAAGGGGTTAGACCTCGGGGCGGAGCCTCCCCGTATAATCATTTGTTGAGTACTCCCCCCCCCGGGCCTGTTGTATAGCTTTTAATTTCATTTCCTTTTGAGATAATTTAATGTGATCGCCAAACTCTGTGAGAGATCGTTTGCACGGCCGACGGGCCGAGTTTACAACAATTGTTTATAGACAAGGATAAAATATGAAAGTGCTAAAATAAACCCTTTCACGTATTTCCGTTTTTCTCTTTTATCGCCCACCCAAATACCGGAAGCGTGTGTCACGAAAACCCGTAGAATGTTCTGTTCATTTCTCAGGCATTGTGGTACAGTGTACGCCCTTGAAAGAAATAGTATATATGTGTCCAAAGTGCTGTAGCATGGGTAATGGCTTTCATTGACTTTTTAGATTATGTATTGTGAAATCTTAAGAGTGTGGTTTGGGCAACAAAATTCCTCTCGTGTAACTTTATTTGTATTCGTTGATACCGAAAAAACGACAGTTTTCAGTTTCCAATTTTGAAAAAAAGGGGGATCGAACAGTTAAGTTTCTGATTTCAGTAGTGCTTCGTCTGTTAAAAGTCGAAGTTAAAAAGAAGTGAGAGTTTCCGTCTTTTGGCAGACTTGTTAATTAGCAGTTTTGCACAGATTGAGAAGGAGTGTTTGACATCACAGATGTTTACATAATTCATTCTTTTTTTCCGGAAGCCTTCCTTTTCTTCCAAAAAAAACCTCTCACCGGAATTTTGTATCATCTTATCTGTGTTTTGTGGGTTCTAATGAGGGAGAGCGATACGGTTCAATGTTTGGTCAGATCTGACACAGTAAAGTATCTGTTGTAAAATCTTATAAAAACAGCTTCGTTTCTTGTAGTGAACTGTTGATCATAAGCGGTGGCATTCTTAAAAAAAGTTTTTTTGCCTGTCTTTTTCCTTTTGAAACTATTTTCATGTTTTTATTGTTCACACATGGGGCACCTTATGTTAAAATTTAAAGAGTGTTTATCGAGTATTCAGGCCACAATGGCAATGCTTTCTTACCAACGAAAACAATAACTGGATATTGAAATAAACCCGGAAAGAACGGATTACGAGTAAATATAGCCACAACGAAAACAAAACTACAATCAGTGGGGCCTAGATGCCCACAGAAAAAAAACCTTCAAATTTCCTTTATCTTAAGTGCCAAGAGATCGGCTTTTGATGGCTTCTGTGCGCGCTTGTTATAAAGGCACAAACGTACACGACCAGAAAATCCTAAAATGTTAACTCCTGACGGTGTTATTTTTCGTTTTCCTGTAAAATAACATGACCAGGATTTGTAATAAATTGGTGGAAAAAGCCGGAAGGGAGGGTGGGGGGGATTGGGAGGCTACTCGAAATTCGTGGGGACAGGGATGGATGATGGAACGGGGCTTATTTTTTACGTTAACAATTTTTTTCCGCGAAAGTTCCCATCCAGGTTTCAGCATTTAGGTTTCACCACCAGCAAAATTCCTTCCTCAAATTGAATCTTCATACCTCCAGAATTCTAAAATCTTGAATTACTTAAATGTAAGGGACTCCCGTACTTAGCCATTGCATGCCGCGCGGGGCACAAGGGAGTTGCTCGTATGCTCTTGATTATAGGCTTTCCCCAATTCTGACGTCGGAAAAGTTACAAGGACAAGAGTAAAGGAGTCTTAAAAAATTCCGTTCCAAAATTGACCATTCTTTAAAAAGTGATTGTGTTGAAGTAAAGCCGAAATGCTTGGGGAGCGGGAGCTTTTAAACATTGATGCTTCAAGGATAAATGTAGAATTTAGAGTCTCGATGGTAATTTAATGACAGTAGCTAGCAGGTTAATCTCTTTGCTAGAATTAAAGGTTTCTAGTGGCAATTTTTCAATTTCCTTTTTCTTTTCATAATACATTATCAATTTATATCCTTTCTAAGGGCTTTGGAATGAACCCCCAGATTCTTTGGAAACGCGATAAACATATATTTACTTTTAAGCGAGAGCTATCATCCAACAGTTTCTTTTAATTATTTTTTTATACTTACTCCATTTGTAGCTTTTAACGCTAGCCTGGCCTCCATGTAAAACTCTTTCATTATAAAAAATCATTAGTTTGCAAGGATTATGAGTGTAAACGTATTACAGACAGAGACTTGATGTAATTTTTGTTGCTTTGCAGACAAAGTGCTGGCGACAGAGTTCTTAAAATCTGGTTTGAAAACAACGTTTCCAGTTGCGATCAATGAACTGCATATTGAAAATTCGTTGTCATCAGTTCAATTTGGTAACAGGACGTTTCAAGTTCAGAAGAAAATATTGCTTGTTCATAAATCATGGGCTAAAGAGCGTTCAAAACTTTCTCACTTTGTAACGCGGTTTTTAGATGGTTTCCGTGCTCCGTATGTGGTGAGTGAAGTAGAAGATAAACCGTTTTTAGATCTACGTGAAGATATAAAGCCCAATGTTGTCGTTGGGAGATATTCCCTTATTGTCTTTGTTGACATCAAGACTTACATAGACCTTAAACCTAATGTTCGGCAAGTAGTGAAACTTTACTGCAAGAAATTTAGGACTGGTATATTGTATTTTATTTCTAATCACGTTGGTTATATACCGGAGTTTCGTATCGAGGTAATAAAACCTCAAAAAGAGAGACAAACCTTAGATGTCGAAGTTAATGAAAGTTCGAAACTTTTGCGGATTACTCGCAGAGGAGGTTCGGCGATTAAGCCAAACGTTCCAAAAGGACAAGGAACGAGGTGGAACTTCATACGCTACGATCCTCAACAAGTTCCTTATGAAACTGTTGAATTCGCAGTGAATCGTAGAAAACGACAAAAAAGAGAGTTGGAGATTGCAGTAACGGAAAATGCTTGTGTTATTTTGGACGATGGTCAAGTAGATGGAATTAAAAAAGTCTTTTTTGGTGGTGGATTTCCCTTCTTTCTGCACACAATGCTTTTCATGGACAGTTTGGAGTATTTATCAGCTGTTAGTCCGATGGAGTTTTCCCTTGAGAGATATCTACAGATTGACGTGGATGATATTTTCATCGCCAAGACTGGTATAAGAATGAAGAAAAAGGACGTCATGGTAAGTAAAAACAAAACAAATGCACTTTATTTTGAGTGTCAATGTATTTAGCACGAAAGTAATAATTGTGGGCACTATTTTTACATCTCGTATTGGAGATGGGACCGCCATTTTACGTAGCCATCCGAGCCACGCGTTGTTTGACATCTGCAGACGATAAGACCCTCTAGTGTTCTGTGACCCAGACGAAAATTCTTAGACCCCTTCGCACAGAAACTTCACTTATCTGGCTCTTGTGAGACTTCATTGAATCACTACTGGGACCAAGAGATCTCTTGCGGGGACATAACAAAATGTTGGAGTTACTGCCCCTTGAGTTTGTCTCCAGGCAACCGTTGAATTGTTAGCCAACCCTGTCGTGTTGGCCTTAACCAGCCAAAGAAAAGGGACTGGGTGAAGGGCGTGGTGGTGGTGGTGGTGGGTGCAATAGGGGGGTACTTAAATGCATACAAGCGTTGTCTTTGTTAATCGCCTATCTGCGTGTTAGTAAAGTAAATGTTAGGGAAAAAGAAAAGCGATGAGAGGTGCAACTTGATTAATCGGCTTGCAAATTCGTTGTCTTTGTATTTTTTACTTTTTTATTTTTTCTATCGTGTTTTTGAAGTTCAAGGCCTTTTTTGTTCGATGTGTAATATTTTTAGACACTTAAGCACTGACTCTATAACAAGATTAGCGCAGCTGTACTAGCTGCGTTAGTTAAAATAGGATAACTAGCTAAATCAGTGTAAGATCCTATTATTTCATGGAACGTGGCGCCATTGAGTGTACTATAGTCTATTAAATTAAATTAACAAGATTTATAACAACATATTAGACCTATTCATTCCAGGATCTGTCATGAAATGTATGTATTGCAGCACAAAGCTGTAGCGTTTGAATTAGCCACTTTCACATTGTTCCTAATGGACCTTGTTTACCCCCAAAAAGATTTATAAGCACTGTTTTCGCTGACTCTTGGGACGCATGTAATAGCCAGGGACGGGTTCTTCAAAGCTGGGTTAAAACAACCCAAGTTAGTCCAAAATTTGAATTCAGAAATGGAAGCTTAAAAAGCAAATTCAGTTTAATTCTTTTTGTCTACAATTTGACAAGAGGATGCTTTCAAAAGAATAAAGAACATTATCCTAGAAAATGCTTTTGAACAATGGAAAGAGAAACCTGAATTAAGATTTAACTCGGGGTTAGCTCTAATCAGCCCTCAAACAACTGGGCTCTAATAACGACAAACAAGGTGTCTTTGTCTTATGAGCAATGTGAAAGGGGCAAATTGGGTTTTTGGAGGAATCTTTTTTTCAATCATTGCGATTAACAGCCTTTGAAAGCACCTTAGATGTAATTTTGTTCCTTTTTCAAAACAACTGATGTGAAATGACGCTATTGGGAACCTCCTTTGTAAAAGAGAATAAGTTCGAATTATTGGATCGATCGAAAAATCGGTGGTGAAAACAGGACACTGCTTGGCAGGGGAAGATTAGTCAAGGGTGGGGAGGGTCAAAAAAACCCAAAATTTCAATATTTATCCCAGTTTGAGTTATCGAGAAGTTCGAGAAACCGAAGGTTCACGAGAATTCGAGATTCTATGCGGTTTAACTAAAAGTTGCCCAAATGTTCTTCATTTTTTCGGAGTTATGCCAATTCAGGCTTAGTTCTATGATGTGCATCATCGAAAACACACTGGATTAATGTTAATCTTGTTTGTCGGGTTGTCCTCTTACATTAAAACATACATCATTTTTTGTGACAACTATTGTAAGGTGTTTCGATACAGTTTTTGGGAGACCATACCGATGTTTTTCAATCTCCTTAAAAGTGATTTTATCCTTGCTACAAAATTTTTACTAGTGATTGACTATGAATTGTTGTTTGTCAAAATGCAGCTTTTTGTAAAATCGATATCACCATGACAACAGTAAACAAAAACCTTCCAAGTCGATAAAAGTCGAATTTTGTGCGATCTAGACCTGCCACTGAAAATGCGACACCAGGAACTTAAAGTGTGGTGTTTAGCAAGTAACCTCCGTGAGAAGTATAACATTCTGTATGTTTGAATTGAAATAAAACGAAAATATAATTCAAACCTTATATTTTCAATAGCCGTGATAACGTGTTTATTAATAAGGTTCTAAATAACTCACATTAATCTTAAGTAGCATTAGAGGGCTGCTTGATATCATTTTTCGATGCTAGGAAATTTTGGTGTATTTTCTTTCTTACGATCCTGAAAGCTAACCTGTTTTCTCGCCATCCGTCTGAGTGCAACTTTACTCAAAATGTTAAGTATTATGGCTCGACAGAATTCTTTGTAAACCTCATCACATAGTTTTTTTGATGTACGGTATATAACAATGTCTGAAACTTTAATTAAGATTGATTCACTACAACAGCTTGATTTTTCAAGAGAAACCTAGCCTACGAACTGGCCAAGAATCCGCGTTACAACATTTACTGTTTTGGCGTTATGCTATTTTTCCAAATTGATATCCGTCATAAATACCTCCCTCGCTAGTACATTTTAGTATGAACTTTATTGCATATTTTGAATGTAAAATATTGACAATATTTACACTGAAATGTCGACTCGTTTTAGAGATATTCAGAAAAGCACTAAAAGTCAAAATTTAGAGTAAAGTTGCACTCAGATGCTCCAGATGGTGAGAAAACAGGTTAGTTTTCAGGAGCGCAAGAAAGAAAATGCACCAAAATTTCCTAGCATCAAAATATATGTTAAGCAGCCTTCTGACGCAACTTAAGATTTATTTGAGTTTTTTAGAACTTTTTTGTTAAACAATTTATCACGGCTTTTGAAAATGTAAGGTTTGACATATATTTACGTTTTATAAGTTTTATATGTTCCTGGTGTCGGATTTTCAGCAGCAGGTCTAGATCGCGCAAAATTCGGATTTTATCGATTTGGAAGTTTTTTGTTTATTGCTATCATAGTGATATCGATTTTACAAAAAGCTGCATTTTGACAAACTTCAATTGATAGTCAATCACTGGTAAAAGGTTTGTAGCGATCGGACAAGGAAAAAATCACTTCTAAGGCGATTGAAAAACTCGGTATTGTCTCCGAAAAACTGTATCGAAACACCTTAATAAGGGGCCCTTCTTTCTGATCTAATTCATTCGATGGCCGGGGACTGGGCATTTTTATGTATTATGGGATTTCTTTCATTGAGGTATCACGGGCAAATTTCTTGAAACTAAAGGTGAAGGAATGGTAGCTGTTAAGCTAACTAAGACCATGTGTAAATAAGAATCCAGCCTTTACCCAGACAAACCTTAGTTTTAAGAGGCAGCAAATTTCAAGAATTTTATTATTTCGAGTAAAACATTTCAGAAAATAACGCGGTCACATGCAGGTTCGAATATTTTGAGGAGCTAACTAATCATATCTTTTTGTCAGCTGGTATCGTTCGTAACGATTATTCTTTTGTAATCACCGAACAGCGAGCTCTTTATATAAGAATCGCGAGAGGCCAAGGTTTTGTGCAAGCACCAAACGAAGCGAGGCACAGAGAGACTTTCAAGTTACCCATCGCGTCTTGACACGTTTTTGTCCCAGGTCAGGGCAGCCTCCCACGCAGACACTCTTGGGCCGTTGTCTCACATTCCTTCCTCACGAACGTTGCGAAAAGAACGTCTGCGGGGGAGACCGGGTCAGGGTCTCTGGTCTGAATTTTCAGACGTCTTCCCTTTTTTAGCCGCGCTTAGCGGGGGTAAGGGCGGCAGTGACATTTCATTCATTTCAGACTACTGCTGTAGAGGCTTTGTTGTTTTATTGAATGCTGCGGTATGGCCAAGCTCAAAATGCCTAAACCCAAATCCTAAATAAACATTCTTGTCTTAAGCCGTATTTGTGAGGTTAAATGCCTCGTTCCTAACTAATTCAGAGCCGAGCATAATCTCAACAATCTGCGAAACGTTTTTGGCTAGAATGTAGCTTGTGTTCTAAATCTGTTATAAAAGCCAAGACCGTTTAATATTTCCCTAGAACTGGACAGGGCTTTTTCTGAAACAGCTCGAGTAAAAAGTGATTTGGATCCGTAGGTTGATGAAGCCCGCTACGTGCAGATGTCTTCAATTTCCTTTTCAGCTTGAAGCGAAGAAAATCGGAGACGTGTCTGCGAGCAGGACTTGATCCGATTTTAAAATGTTTTGATTTTAATTCTTTAGGTAAATCCCAGAGTGTGTTAATCATGTGAAATCCTAGGAGCATTTTCCTGTTGTTTTTTTTTTTTTTGCACTTGGCAATGCGAATATCACCAGGTGCTAAGGCTTCTCGCTGTCTACGCTTTTTTAAGCCATCAATCAAAGTCCTGATTTCACGCACATACAAACACTGTATCTGTTACTTGTTTCAAGTCAAAACCCTTTAGCAACGCTCTTTGTCTTCTTCACTATTTTTACTTGTGTCAAACTGCCACTCTAGACTACGAGTAGTCCCTCATTTTCATTAGGGATAGTTGAGCGGGATAAATACGCGATCGCGCGTGAAAATCGCCGCGAGCGAGGAGAGGCGAAACGTGGAGGAAGGAGAGAAGTGGACTGAATAAAATGTATTTTCTTCCCTCCGCGTGTCAACTTCCTCCGGGTGGCGATTTTCACGCGCGCTCGCGTGTTTCTCTTGAGGGGCTTCTTGTTGTCTACGGCCCTCTTGAACTTACGGACTATGTAAGAAAGAATGAGATGTATAGTTGAACTGCAAATCTTACAAATACTACTTACTTAGTCGGGCAGAGTACATTTTAATATACGCTGTAGTTCAGTTACGAGGTAGCAAGGTTGTGGTGCATAGAGAAAATCAGGGTCCCCCTAGTATAGATCGTCTTAAAAACGGTTTTGTTTCACTGAAAAATATCTTGATCTGTGAGTGGGTAGTATGGTCTACCAGACGCTGATAAATGGCGATATTTAGCGAACGAGTTCAATTATTGTTTTGTCAATCAATCAGAATTCCCCACCTCAGAAACTGTAATGGGAATGGGCACAAGCTTTCGGCGCAACGGTTTTTGGCATCATTTGGCTGGACAACCACTAGTTATGAGTGGTTATTAAATGGTTGCCTTGAATACCATCGACCAATCATAACTAGTGCTCGTCCACCCAAACGATCCCAGAAATCGTGGTGCCTGAAGCTTGTTCCCATTCCCCTTATAGTCTCTACTTGTTGCGGTGCCGCCATCTTGTTCCCCGAAGACCAAACTTCCCTTGAGAGGCTTTTTTTTTTTGTATTGCGCAAGAGCAGACCTAAGTTCGTAAGCAGTTATTCGCAATGACGTATAATGACCTCTAGACGAATTAAAACTTAAGAAGAATAATTTGAATGATAATCGTCCTTTGGCTGTGACTGATTTGTAGGAGATGCTCTCAGTACAAGAGAGGCTGGCGCAGAAGATTCCAGGATTCAAGTTTAACTTGGGTTTCTCAGGGCGCAGCTTTAGACAGGGGAATAACGAAGAGGACGATGGAGACAACGCTTTCATTGAACACGCTCATAATTTTACGTGGTTTGGTCATCTGTATGATCACGAGCAGCCGCATAAACACAGCTACTCTGAGATTGTCAGATCCTTAACCAAGAACGAGGAATTTGCCAAGGTATTTAAGCCTTAAATTTCCATTTTTGCCATTCTTTCCAAGTCCAAATCCAAGAAAATTTCCAAATTTCATTTTGTAAAATGCTGACAAACAAATGGCACCACATAAAAGAACTGCTGAAGAGAATTTATTTGAATGGTCACATCATAAGATTTCGTCCACAGACTGAAAAGTTAGAACTACATACTAATAGTACCATTTGAAAGTACTGTTGTAGAGAATTTATTTGAATTGTCACATCAACGGATTTCGTCAACGGACTCAAAAGTTAGAACTAGTTGGTAATAGTCCGTCTTTTTACTGTGGTAGTAAAAAGGGTTAAGGCAACGATCCTCCGAAGAGTGCGGTGTGGCTTTCTTTTTTCTTTTTGTTTTGGAGAAACAAAAAGTTGGCTCTGTTAGAAAGGTGACCTGCCTAGCTGGGGCACACTTTTACTATCGAAACCTAGGGCAGTAGCCAGGCCAACGTTTGCGAAATAAAAAATTTGGCTCACCCAGTCTGTTCAACTCGGTCAAGGCAAGAGCGCGAGCCTTGTTGGCACAAGCAAAGAGGTCAACATTTTTCTCATATAAACAGCCCTAAAGTTGACCCCACTCGGAGGGTGACCCTCTTTCCTTTTTCTTCATATGAACGGAGCCTTGGGCACCTACTTTGTTTTCTAGTTGAAAATTTCTTGTTTGTGTTTTTAGAAACATGGTATTCCAATGAAACGGTCATACATGATTGCTCCACATCATTCGGGGGTCTATCCAATACATGAACCACTGTATGATGCTTGGGCGAATGTCAGAGGTGTCCGTGTGACCTCTACTGAGGAGTATCCACACCTGAAGCCTGCTTGGTTAAGACGAGGATTTATTTATAAAGGAGTTAAGGTGAGCAGGGTCATACATTCATTTAATATTAGAGACCTTACGTAGCTACGACGACAACGGAAACCTGGTTTAATCCTGGTTTCTCGTCCCAATCGTCTCAAATAATGTTCAGACGATCGGGACGATCATATGGAAACGTTATCCGGACGATCGCAAACGATCCAGACGATTGAGACGACCTCGATCGAATGGATAGAGTTGAGATCTATTCGGACAATCGAGACGATCGTGTAAATTTTGAAGCGATCATATGGAAACATTCTCAGACGATCGGGACGATCGAAGGCTATCCCAGAAATCATCACTTTTATTCCAGTAATCGAGAATAAAATTCGCCCTGGACACCACTGACGTCGAAAAAAATAATACAAAAATGTTCCCACCGCGTATGGGCGCTAGAGGTACGCTCTTCCATTAAAGGTACGCTCTCTCATTAAAATCCATCATAATGTTTGGTTTGTTTGCGAAACATGCGCAAAAATTCTTTTGTCTGACCCAGAGACATCGCTGACGACCCCGTGTCTCTTTTCTTTGAGGCGATCGAGACGTTATATGGAAACTACCAATCGTCCCAATCGTCCGGATCGTCTCGAAATTTTTTCACACGACTGGGGCGATCGGGACGATCATATGGAAACCAGGCTTTAAGACTACGTTTACATGGCCTGTGCCACAGACGAAATTAAACCTCTGGTTTAGTCCGTCTGCGAAACAGCGCCAAAATCGTTGTTCTGGGCCCCTACCTGTGTACCAGGATTTGAGTACGCGCCTTGATTAGCCTTTCCAAAAAAAGCCATTGTGGATTTGCCAATCAGGTTGAAGTGAAATTCGAAACGTATTTCCGGTAATTCGTTGCGTCCGTTGGTGGCCCGGAACAAGGATCTCGGTGCTGCTTCGAAAACGTTACCAACCGGGCTTTGATTATGTCTGCGACGCGGGTTACGTTAACACGGCACCGCACGAATTTTAGACCTGTTGCCCTTAGGTGTTCCGTTAACCTTTCTCCCCTCCCCGTCCCCCTCCCCCTCTAACATCTCCTTTGCCCTATCCCCTAAGGAAGACCTGATACTTAGGCTACTTCTCGAACGTTTGTATAGACCGTTCATTTTGATATATTTGTCAAAACCAGGCCCGAATTGACATTGCTGGAGAATTAAAGTTAGTACGTCTATTACCATTATTTATTTATGACAGCATCAAACCCCGACGGGAGTTAACTGGTGTTTAATGATGTGTGTGCCGCGTTTCGTGTTTCCAGGTTCTTCCCCGCCAGACTTGTGGCCTTTTCACAACTACGAACTTCTTTTACGAGATCAAGGGTGGGAAGAAGGCGCTGGACAAAAGTATTGAGGGCGGAGAATTGTTTGGAACCATCTTACGGAATCCAGTAAGTGACTCGCATTTTTATCGTTGTTTCATGGCGTTGTCCTGTTGTCGTTTTACAAGAAATGATGACTTACCATTTCATAAATACTTGGTGTGTACACTCTCATTCGAGTGACACAAATTATGACTGATTTGAATGGCTTGCCTCGATTGGATCTTTGCGATGTTGCGCGGGAGTCTAATAGAGATACGCTAACGAGGGCATGATCGTAGGCTATTGGTATCCAATGTTTCAAGAATTATTAGGAACAAAGGAAAACTGATAAAAAAAAAACAACTATTTGAGTTTTGTTTTTTCATTTTAACTCCCAATGTATGCAGTCTAGTCAACTCAAAGAGAATTAGTGTATTCAATACTAGAGGTAATCATTGATTACGGATCCGCGTTCTTACGGAAACGAAGTCAAGTCGAAAGGAGTCCAGTTTCCCGGCCGAGATGCCCCCGATAAAATTAATAGGGGCGGCTAATCGGCAGTCGCTCGTGATAGCTAAAATATTTCTGCCTTTGTGCCACATGAACACCAGATTAGTATGCGTTCTAACGAAAGCGAAAATTGTCCACTAATAAGTAAATGCGTAAGACTTGTTTCTTGTAGGAACTCTATGTGGTCCAACTGTCTTTCGCGACCATCTCATGTCAGCATCTGCCAAATCCTAGCCTCGACTGTAGTTCTTTCCTTTATTGATAACTTTGTCATCAAAAATTGCGTGTTATTTTCTCTTTTAGGTTTCAATTTTTATGACGCACATGACAAACTATGGTAATGATCAGTTAGCGCTGTACACTGTCAGTCGACTTGTAAACTTTGTTCATCGCTGGACCAACCTTGAGCTGAAGTATGCTGAACCAACTGAATTAGCTGATATCTATTTTAATTTATTTCCGAAGGATAAAGTACCAGTTTGGCTGGTGAGTTACGTCTTTATACTTTTACGAACAAAAGAGTATTGCTCTGTTCAAAGGAAAGCCAGACCGGATAGGGGTTCTGTTCACACTTACGACTGGCGATTTCGGGGCGATTTCTGGAACGGAGCAAAGCTGCGTCGCGCCGATCTCGAATGTGGAGCGTCACATATCGGGTACCGTATTTCCTCGGATAATAGCCGGGGCGGTTATTTCTTTTTTGCATCAAAAGGGGCCGACTATTCGAGGGAAAACGAATATTTGACGGAGGCGAATAATAGTGTGTGAACGACTTGTTCCAGTTCTGTGCCGTTGCTGGTCATGCTATCCCGGAAAGCTTTTCGTGTCGGCATGAAAAGCTATCCGGCATAGTGTGAACATAAGCTAAGACTTAAAAGTTGAGGGATTGATTTTCCGTTTCGTATGCAGCAGTTACCGTATTTCCTCGAATAAGAGGGACTTTAAGATCCAACAACGCGGACGGCGACGAAAACGTCATAAAAACAATAGGTTTTATAACCAAAACAACAACTTTGCACGTGCATCACGCTTGTTTGTACATTTCCTTACCCGTTTTTGGACTACGACTACGACGTGAAAATGCCTAATTTCGCGTTTTATGGAGTACGTAAAGAAGCAACGACGAAATGATATTTCTCATTCTGAACTTGGATATGGTCCCTAGGAATTCAACTCCAGGAGGGTTCGCCTACATTTGACAAAGTAAGTGGGTAGGAATAATTGCGATAAAGACTGGAGAAAGCAAATTCACTTTTTAAGCGACGTTTTCTCTGCCGTCGCGTCGTTGAATCTTAAAGTCCCTAATAGCCGACCCTCGGTTAATCGCCTCCCTCGAAAAATCGCCCCCCTTAGACACAAATATTTAAAATTATCGCCTCCTCCAAATAAACGCCCCCACCCTTCTCGCCGTCTTCTCTTTCTTTTATCCCCTCCCTGTCAAGTTAAAGAGGAGTCTGATGCGGCACATCCCATCAGTGACGATTCAAGCTCTGACGCTGAGGATATTGACATTGAAAACTAACCAAGGAACCAAATTTGAAGCACTAAGAAAGCCCATGTTCAGTTTGTTTGATTTAAAATGATTTAGGGAACGACTCCCAGTGAGCAATGTTTAAAATAATCGCCTCCCTCGAATACTCGCCCGCTATTTGTGCGAAAAAAAAATTACCCCGGCTAATTTTCGAGGAAATACGGCATTTCACGAGAACGCACAGTATACAATGGAGGGACCACTCAGAGATTAGACCTCATTTTCTTTCTGTTTTTTTCCTTTCACACTTCACTCCACTCTGCCTGTTTACATGGAGGTGGGGGACCCCAGGTAGATGAGGTAATCCGCTTAGGTGGGGTAACCCGCCTGTCCATACAATCTCTCATTTTAATGTGATCACGTTTACATGTTAGGTGGGGTAACCCGCCACATGTTACCTCACCTACCTGGGGTCCCCCACCTTCATGTAAACAGGCTCTAAATGCCTGGAACATACTGGTGTCGGAAGCACAGGAAACAGTCGGCAGAGGAGTTATGTTTGTTTTTGATTGGAGGACTAATCCGCCCTAAATTATTTAGTGCAGAATATGAAGCGTCACTTGGTCTTAATACAAATCTGGTGACGTCAGAGAACCCCATACAGCCATGAATGCGGCGACTAATCACCAGTAGCGACTGTTGATAGAACTTTTCTTGTTGGGAAAGCTTTGCTTTGAAAGTTGACTCTGGTGCGACATTCTTTCGTCGCACGGAAAATATTTCACCAGACTTGCAATACGATCGCGTGATGTGTTCTGTGAACAATTTCATTCGCATTGCGAAATTAAACTGGAATCAAGGTGAAAAATTAACTACCCACACACCATCGGACAAATTTTCGACCGGTTGAAAATTCGTGCGTTTAGGTGTTCTGTTCAGCCGTTAAAAGTTCCGTGTGAACAGATCAAAATATTGAATTGTCCCGTGTGAACAAAGTCTCCAGCCGTAAAAGAATAACTCCTCTGTGCCCTTTTTTTAGCGTGGGAATCTTTTCTTTTACTAAAATCCCTTTTCAAAGTTCTTACTGAAAGTGATACTTTTATGAAGTGAGTTTAAAACATTTGTATATCCTTATTTGGTCTACAGAGTCCATGCGATGACAGTCGCCATCTTCAAATCTGGCCCAGTCAAAAGTCTTGTACCAGGCTCCCGTCATTTCTAGTGATCGGGCCTCCGTTTGGAGGCCTGGACATGTTATTGCCTCTTCTTAACCTTCATCCGGATTTCTTGCATATAATCAGCTCTGACAACAGCACTTTTGGGACCAGTTTCTTCAACTCAGACAACTATTTTAAAGGCTTAGATTGGTAAGATTTCAATCAACAGCAATAACAAAGCTTTGTGGTGAAACTGCCCGCACCAGAAGCTAATTTTAAATGTCTTTACCAGTGGTTTGTTTTTTGGTGTCAGTTCTTTTTTGTTTATCTAAGGTAGTTTCTGAAGTTTTCCAAAAACAGTATCCCTTGATAGTCTAGAGTTAAAATCCGTTTTCATCGGGATATCGATCGGTTTGGAGGCAAAACTTTCGTTTCTCAAAAAAAGTACTATTCTATTTTATCACATGACCGTACGGTCCCGCGCACAATTTCGTTGGCAAAATCATATGAAAAAAGCAAAACAAAACACGTATGAGGGACGTATGCGTCAATTGATAAGGCCGGAAACCGCGTAGAGCCCTGCTAGAAAAGCGTACTGATCGATGCGAAATGCGTCTGCAGTTCGCAGGCTAGATGCGGGTTCGCTCCGTCAGAACAATTAAAAAATACAACGGTCATATGATAAAATGCTTGCTTGGTCGGGCCGGACAGGAAAAAATTTGGCTATCGATCAGGACGCACGCACCTCGATGCGCTCGGTCCGTACGTCCTCACCGACCTCGAGCCAAATATTTTCCCGTCCGGCCCGACCTAACTCAGTCACTAAGTACATAGTTTGTCCTGTGTTAGATTTCGCAGTGTCATGCTCTCTATCTTTTTTGCTGCTTTATAGTTTGTTTTTGCGCTTTTCATTACGGATCAAAATGAAAGAGAACCATCTCGCTCGTTCCCATCAAAGTTGTTTGTTAAATTGTATATTTCCCCTTATTGTTTACGATATCCATTTGATTAGCCTTCTTTATTGATATTCAACTAATTTTAAGCGTGATTATTTTTCTAGGTACATGAAATTCTTTCCTCGCCCAACCAGAGCAGAACAACAGTTATCTTACGAAGTTAGTGACAAATATTTCACTGATCATGATTCGCCATACCGTGCAAGTAATCTTCTCAAATCCGCTAAAATCCTGATCGTTCTTGATGATCCCGTGAAGAGAGCTTTTTATCATTATCAGGTAAGCCGTGTTGAGCACAGCGAACTATTACTAGTTCATTCTTTGTTTTACAGGTAAATGTATGAAATTGTCTGTAAAACTTATTTTGCTTCTTCAGTTCTCTTGCTTCATGGGAAGCAAGGGTTGTGCAGTGTTAAAAGCACTCACCTCCCACCAATGTGGCCCGGTTTCAAATCCCAGCGTCGACGCCATATGTGGGTTGAATTTGTTGTTCTCCGAGAGGTTTTTCTCCTGGTACTCCGGTTTTCCCTCCTCCTCAAAAACCAACATTTCCATATTCCAATTCTTCCAGGAATCAGGTAGACGAAGAACCACAATGTGAGAATACTACCCCTAAAAAAAGCGCACTTTATCTGAGTGTCAATTTATTGAGACCAAAGTACTAATTGGAGACGGTACCATACGATTTGAATTAAAAACTTACAGTAACGGAGAAGAAGTGTTTCATATTCGCTACGCTTTTGTGTCGCGTCGAAGGCATTTTGTTTAGTTTTGTTTTCTCACATAAGAAGCTCTTTCATCTTTCCAAGCACCTAAAGAGTGACATTTTAAGGAGTTTTCGTAGGTTTTTGGACAGTATGGGAAAACTAGTGTGAAATGTTCAGGGACAGTGGAGTGAGCGAAACGTGATGGTGAAAAACGTGGACTCTTCATTTTTGCCGCCAAATAAAACCATAAAATTTAAAGGGCATCGTTTGATTGTCCAACAGGATTCCCATGTTATAGAAATTACTTTCCAACAATATTTTTTTTCGGCTCTGATACGCTGTGTGTTCGCTTGAATTAAGCAAAAGCGGCGCGCAGTTGATTCTGTTCACCAGATACAAATTCTTTCCTCGTTTTAGTTTTGGTCGTGTGTAACCATTTCAGGGTCAAAGGAAAATCACCCTATTTAGTCAGCCTTGTACTAACTTATGTACATTCTTGAGACCGTTAACGATTGTTGTTTACAACGTTACAGTGGAAACAGACCTAAACGGACGAGAGGACTTGTATTTGTATGCGAGCGTCGCGTTTTCGTCGCACGTTTCTCCAAATCTTCGGTTTTTCAACAAAATCGCTACTTATATAAAAGCGAGCTCCAACAACCATGACGACAACAAAGGAAGCGAGAAAATAAGAAAAGCGACAGAGTTAATAAGCAAAACAAAAATTCTCAAGGTACAGCAGACGTTTTGGCAGATTTTTGTGCCGTCATCGTACGACTATTAACGCTGTCAAACTTGATTGGAATGGCCGTGCGATCGTTGTTTTAATCTCTAACATTGCCGTTTCTTCAGAAGCTATCGTCGCGACTTCGATTTCGTTGGAATTACCAATACAAAGTATTGTATATTTCTGCACAGTCTTAATGGCTTCGCGTGAAGACTGTCTAAGTATCACCGAAAATACAAGGTGTTATGGGTTAATCGTTGTGGCAGCTCAATATAACGTTCAATACTTTTGTTTTCAGCATCTAAAGAACGTTGAAGGTGTGGAGCTACCTAGTTTTGATGACCTGGTGAAGTTGAAACACGATCCTGGACTGTCGAGTGTTAAACGCACCATCCTGGGGGCTGGACACTACTCTGAACACATCGCTCGTTGGATGAGATACTATAACGCCAAGCAGGTCAGTCTTGTTTACATGTAATTCATGGTTTCTACTAGGCTATTTCCAAGTTGCAAAAATCCTCGCTTTCAAAACGAGGCAATGTGTAAAAACGTCCATGTGAGAATGAGTTTTATTTGCATGAGAATAGAAAACTATTTTTATATTCGGAAGAATTACACTGCCCACTATAATGCAATACCCAGGGGTAATACACAGATTTGGAGCAAAGACATGACCCAGCAACAAACTCGAACCACGTATTTCAAATACCACTACAATAAAAATTTAAACCGGCTCCTGTCAAAGAGAAAACTGCCTCCTCACTGCTTACAGGAGTTACATCCCTACTGAGATTTGAATTAAAAACTTACAGTAACGAAGAAGTGTTTTCGGGTTTTTCACATTGCCCACCACACCTTGTTCACCGCCATGCCCATGCCCCCGCCCCCTCCCCCCCCGCAAAAAAGTATTGTTTTCGCTTTCTCTTGGGACGACTGTTATACCCAGAGGTAATACACAGGGTGCTTAGCGTAGGGTGAGTTTCATGGGCAATGTAAAAATGGCGAATCAAACTTGACACTCAGCCTCGTTTTGAAAAGAATTTTGAACTCGGAGCTGGCGTAATTCGCTTTGCAGACATATCTATTATACTGACTGTCGGCTATGTAAATAATGCCTATTGAGCAGTCTATCTATCTAGGTGCCAATGTATTTGGGTCAAGTCATTCTTACTGGTCCCACACTTTTGGGTCAAAACTGAGCTGAATCTCAAATCTGACGATCCTCTCTTGACTGTAACATTTTCTTATTCTAGGAAATCTGAAAGAAATTGATCAAACGATTTTCTCGACGCTGAGAAAGCAATTGCTTTAAAATTTTTCATCAACGCAAGAGCTTGACAAAGTTGGCGCACAATGTTTTTTTAGAGTTGCAATTCCTTTCCACGCAGGTTATCGAAAGCCCAAGAACTACAGTTATAGTTTCTCCTGGGCAATTGGGTAATGGAGCAGTTTGCCGCTTTAGAAACGACAGTGGGACAGGGAAAATATTGGCCAATAGCTGACCCGTGCTTCCCCAGTAACGATCTCCGAAACAATTGGGGCACACATTTCTTCTCAAGTTCTCTTCTCGTTTCTAAAGTGGTAAATAATAACCAAACTGTACTTTTTCAGATGAACATCATCAGCGTGGATGACTTGGTTTCCCGGCCAATCACAGTGATGAACACCATTCAAGAAGCTGTTCGTGTGGAGAGTCGCTTTGATTACACACAAGCTTTAAGGTGAGTCTCCTAAAAATGTTATCAACTGATAATTTGTCACTTGAGAAACGAGAAGGAAGCTAAGCCGAGTTAACTGTCGCAAAGACTTCTGGGACTGGTCCTGGGGCGGGAAAAAATTCGGCCAATAGGCCATTTGCACTAAGAGGTCATGTGACATCGTTTTTATGAAAGTGAAAGTTATATGATTTTTTTCTTCAAAAAACAATTAGTGGGTCATGTCTTAAACAAAATAATAGTGATTTTGTTTTTCAAACCTGCTCCATTTTCTTAAAATGAGTAAGTTCGTAACTGGTCACGTGACCAAAATGTGATTTTTGAAATTGTGAATTAACTCTTTCTGAACACAAATTTTGCTCTTAAACATCAAGGAGAATGTTGAAAAGTTGATGTGGGAACGTTTACAGAACATCTGATCGTAACTATCAAACCTTTAACAAGATCTAAGCAAAAAGAAGTTTTGGCCGCCATGTTGGAGGGCAAGAGTATGCCCTCCAACATGGCGGCCAATACAAATGATACTACTTTGTTGAAAAATCAAAGTGCCATAAAATATCTCCCTTAAATGCGTTTCCCCTCAAATTTCGGGTGTAAGATAATTTTTGTGTGCTCTGTCAATTTTTGGCATCATCAAGATTCCAACTCATTGTTTAAAGGAAGCATTGGTCACGTGACCTCTTAGTGCAAGTGGCCTATAGCTGACCGGCGCGTCCCCAGTAGCGATCCCAAGAATAATTGCGGGACACTTCTACGGCTCCAGTCCCCTTTTCGTTTCTCCCTTTCTAGGGTGGCGAATAGTAAACAGTTACCGTCAGTTTCATCTAAGCGGGACACGAGACAAAAATATGTTCTAATAGAGTGACAGGCATGACGTGTTTTGCCGACAAAATTTTGAAGTTTGACAGCCGTTAAAGCAAACTGTCGTGTCAAAGGTTAAGTTGTTTACATGTTTTTGATCAGCACGTTCCGCTCATCTTTTATTTTTCTCAATTTTCAGTAATATTTCTCGCTCAGAAACAGCACACTTGTTTTTATGAATTATTCGTTGGAGTTTTACAACTCCAGAAATTCTTCTTAACGTCTTGCGATGAATATTTTGTTGAAAACAAATCAAGTCGACAAACAGCTGCCTACTTTGCACGTGAATATTCGTCCAACGCTACCTCAAACTTCAACAGTTTGGCGGCAAAACATGCCATGTTTTCATCCATTTAGAGTATGTTTTTTCGTCACGTGTACGCGCTTAGATGCAACCGACGGTATTTGATGAGGTTTTTGGTATAACGAACAATTTTCTTTTCCTTAGTAATGGTAAAATAAAATATATATAAAGAACCTCGATATAACAAAACTTCGTCATAGCCAACAAAGTTTGCAAGTCCCTTGGCTCCTGGTTATATCGAGGTTTTACTGTAATTGGACAGTATGCGCCATCGTGCGCGCACCCTAAAATATAACAAATTTTGTCATAGTTACGATTAATTTGTAGCAGATTTTCGAGTCATCCAATTCGTCTGTTATCATACTTGTTATCACACTCGTGATCAAACAAATCGAACGAACGCGTGATTTCTTTTGTCACTCGTACGATTACAGACCGAACTGGACTCCACTCAGTCCTATTACCATTATTTATCACTATAGCTTAACTGATTATTTCAAACATCCGACAGATACGATGAAGACACTGGCCTGTACTGCCCGACATCTTCCACCAATTTAACGGAATGTCTAGGGTTTAAAGAATCAAGGAAGGTACCTATCAGCCCGCAAACAGAGCAGTATTTACAGCGGTATTACTCCAGACATAACCTGAACCTACTCCGGATGAACCAGAAAATCGACTTTCCTCTGCCCAGATGGATTCATGGGTAATATGTGCAGCGGCTTGGAGAGGTGGATGAAGGCAAGAGACTGGGCGCTGGAGAGATGTGTCGTTCAGTCAACACTGAGGAAATCTACAGGATCATTAAAACATTCATAGTATTTATAATAACTTAAGATTTCCTTTGCTTTCCTTCTAAACACAAATTCGGCGAACACTTCACGAACCCATGTGAGATAAATGGACTTTGGTTAAAGGAGCTGAGACACCATTTATCAAAATTCATACTGCAGAATTCGCCAACAAATTGAATGAAACCTAAATATAACCTCTCAGAGCTTTCATTGAAGGTTAAAATAACACAGCAAATGTAAATGAAGCTGGACGGAAAGCTTCAAGAAGATTGAAAAGGTTTGCAAAGCCTGGCTTTTGAAAACTTGTTGACCTAACAGTTTTTCAAGGTTTACTTTTGTTGTTAGTAACATTTGATATAATGTTGGAGAGACACGAAGACGAAGCTTTGATCTTGCCATTTACAAGTAATTTCTTCGTTAACCTTACGTTTCATAGCGAAATACAAGGATGTGTAATTGGCGATATGAAACAATGACTAAATAGGCAGCCATGACACAGTCCCTTTAAGGTCATTATAAGGCACAATTTCGGAAATACAGTAAAAATATCTCGAAAAGCGTCGCTTAAACGAGAATATTCAAAGAAATTATCAATAACCAAGAGCAACGCGAAATTTTGTTATTTTTGTATAAAGAAGAGAAAAAGAAATTCATTTATATGATAATACGTAAGACGTAACCTTTATTTTTATGTTTACATTCGTAACAAGAGAAGAGTATATATATATTGATTCTATATCATATAGTTATATATAAAGTTTATATTATCGTATTAAAGTATACTAAAAGTTCTACAAATTGTATGATATAAAAATATTATAAACGAAATAAAGAGATATCCTATCGAGATTTTGTGTAATTAGTCTGAACATCTCAACTCAACTTAAGGTAAATGTTGTAGTTAATTTATCTCAGGTAATTTGTATTTTGTTTGTTTTGTTTCATCTTCATTAGCATACATTACCATCCCAATAACAAAAGAAAACAAAAACAAAATTACCTGAGATAAAAAAAAAATAACCACAACATAAACAGATAAATCAACACAAGTTGTTAGGTTTTGGATCGTTACGTACGGTTCACTGGGGGTGTAATTTAAGACTCGTTGCATGTATAAACCCCACATTTGGTTCGGACATTATATATTGATCAGACATATCATCACATTTATGGCTCAAAGTCAGTGTGTTTCGATCGTTGTCCTGGCAACACGGATGATTAAAAACAAGCTTAAAATTTTGGATTTTTTACTTTTACGTCATTTGATTTCCTTATGAATTTTATTCTTCGAAATTAATTCAGCAGTCAAACTTAACTTAATTTAGGTCGATCCAAATTTTTGTTCGTCTGCTGAAAAGTTCCACGTTTGGCCTTGGCATAAGTTAAAAATAACACGTTAAAAGAGAAAAAAACGGACAACATGTTCAGTAAACCATTAAAGTAAAAATCCAAACCTTTGAATTGAAAGAATAAGTAACGTGCTTCAGCAATTTTAAAAAACAACAAAGCAGAACTAAAACTAAAATAACAACAAAAATTTCCTAGAAAACCAATCTGAAAAGGAAACGAAATAAAGCTTTAGGAAATGTTACAAAAGTTTCCATATGTTACTCCCTGCGTTTTTGTAACAGTGTGGGATCAGCTTCCGTCCACAAAACCAGCGAAATAAAAGAAATGACGTACATGCTGTGAGAAAATACTCGAGAGCACATACATTTAAGAAAATAAACTCACTTTTGCCGTTACAAGCAAGCTACATTACTTCTGAGCAACTCAAGACATGAGCTTCCCTCAAGTGATAGCAGCTTTTCACGGACTTTTTGTGATGCGATACATTTTACTGGCAAGTCTCGCTTTATAAGACTGTCTGCTGTTGGTACTCGTAAACTCACTGCGCATCAAAAGTATAGCTCAAGAAAAATGGTTATATGGCCAAACCATGTGTTACATCAATCCATTCTTCGTTAGATACTTCTACATCAACACGGTTCTTCACTTGGTAGCAGTGTCCTATGATCGATACCTAGCGATAGTCAAGTCTCCTCTGACGTATGATGGCACCATCACAAAAACCAGAGTAGTTTTATCAGCTCTCATCTGGATAATCCCTATTCCACTTTCCATTGGTCCATTCTTTGGTTGGAGAAAGTACGTTTACAACCCAGTGGTTTCCTTCTGTGAGCAGGAATGGGCTGTCTAAAGTGACTCGACTGCAGGTCATTTTATCGTTTTATCGATCGCGATGCTTATCGCACCATTCGTGGTTATTGTATTCCTTAACGGGTCTGTGTACAAGGCTGCGAGAAGGCAGATAAACGCCATTGAAGTCCAAGTAGGAGGTCCTCAACAGCAAGAGATCGCATCGAGGCGACTAAGAGATCGGAAGGCAGCTGTCGATGTCACCATTATCATCGCCACGTTTTTGCTGTGTTATCTTCCACTCTGGATTACAGGCATTTGTCGCCAGTTCGTCTCAGGAATCGATTTTCCGGCCGAGGCAGTTCTTGCGACAATGTGCATTTTCTTCCTCAGCGCGGTATGCAACCCGATTATTTATTCCATCCGCAAAAGAGAATTCCGTAAAGCGGTGAAGAAGATGTTGAGGAAGGTAGGAGTTTGTCAAGATTCTAACGAAAACGACATCTTTTGAGCGGCGGAAAGTTGTGAGAAGTGGCAAGGAAGTCACTAGCCTGTCACTAGCTGGGAAGTCACTAGATTTTACCGACGAAAAATGTGCAGTTTTTAGAAACTGAGAGAGAAACAGTAACCGTTGCAGATTGTATTTACGAAAGGCGCAGTCTGTCTCAGATGGACCGAGTTGTTACGGCCACAAAATACGACTGAATAACTTTTTCCAGAAGAATTGTAAACCTTCACTGATCATGAAACTTCGAAATAAAAAGTTATTTAAGACATTCATTGTATCATGTGTTGCTGTTACTTGGTTATCGGATTTTTACCCTGAAAGAATAGTTCATTGCCATTTAGGACGTAGAAAAGAATGAAAAAAAAAAAATTAAATTTGTTAGACCAGGAGCCGATTGGCTCCTGGTCACACAAAATAACCAGTTATGTAATCGAATCACTTAAATTTTCTGAAAACCTTCGATCATATTACAGCTGATATTAGGCGAAATGATGGTGACGGGAAATCAAACCGTTTTCTGATGCAGATTCAGTTAATTCTATGCATCATTTCATTTTACTGTTTTTTTTTTATTTATAAACTTCGCCAAGAGGCCTGGATCACTCACAGAGCAAGCTCCACTACAAGGTCCAGAAAAAAGAAAGAAAATTAGTAATACAACTAACAAGAATGACAATACTTTAGAAATGACCAAAAAAAAAAAGAAACGGAAATGCAAAAACAGAATTGGGGAGGACATCGATAAAAAATCAACAACACATACGATCGAGCAAGCTGTTCAATGGCCGACTAGTGTGGCACTTAATAAACACACCCTCAAAGGTCTGAGGGGTGCCGACATCATAAACAGACTTAGTGAGATACAAGTAGTAATTAAAAAGATCTCTCTTAAAGTGCGCTACTGAACAGTCAGTGCTCATGAGGTGGGCTGGGAAAGTATTCCAGATTCTTGGGGCTCTACAGTAAAAACTGTTATCAAAGGTGACGGTGTTGGCCCTAATCGTATTCAACAGCGTATCCTTGGAGGAGACAGTGCGCCTGGGTCTAGTGGAATTCATGACAGAAATAAAAGGATCCGATAGACTAACTAAACATTTGAATACGTACACAAAATCTAAAAATTCGTGCCAATAACATAATGGTAGTAGCCCAAGCCTCTGCTTGTAACTAACTTCACACCGATACGGCAAAGACAGAATGAATTTTGCTGTGCGCCGCTGAATTCTTTCTATGACAAGGATAAGATTAACAGCTTGGGGAGCCCACACCTGCGAGCAATATGCGAGGTTTCTGTGAACTAGTGACAGGTAAAGTAACTTGCGAGCTCACTGGTCATGAGTGTCGCAAGCTGATCTCCGGAGAAAGCCAAGCTATTGGCCTTCGAATAAGCTGCCAACACTTGGGAGTTCCATTTCAGATGTTTAGTAACTAAATCCCCAAGGTCCTTCTGAGCTTCCATCGTCTTAACTTTGACATCGGATAATTTATAGGGGAAGTGAAACGGGCTGGCATTTCTGGTAATAGAAAGTAGCCCGCACTTGGATTGATTTAGATCCATTTGCCAGAGATCACATCATTGGTTGAAATGTGGTCGAGGTCGCGCTGTAGACAAGCACCATCCTCTATGCTTTTGATTGACCGGTAGCACTTCGTGTCGTCAGCAAAGAGAGCAACAGATGTTGAGGATGCCACGTCAGGAAGATCATCATACATATTTGAGGAACAAGAGTGGACCAAGTATTGATCCTTGCGGCACACCTGATAACACAGGGAGATTTCTCTTGGAATAACCTTCTTCTAGGTTCAAAGTGTAGGCTTTTATAGGTTTATCCATAATCATAGACTGTTAGTTGGTTTTTCGGGTTTTTCAGGCAGACGAAGGTAAGCGGGAAGCGAGCGAAGAGCGCTTGACACGCTTGACATACGAGCGAAGGCGCAAAAAACCACTTACAATAAGTAGGACTTGAAATCTAAAACTCGCCAGAACGGCTTTAAAATGACTTTCTAGGCGAACAGGACGAACCGATTATAAAACACACAACATAACTGACAAAAGGAGAGTCATTTTATTTTGAATCTTTTCAAAAAGCGCAAGTTAGAACATATTTTGCAATCTCTTAAGGCTGGTTTTCACTAACGATGGAGTCAGAGTCGGAGTCGTAATCAGAAGCGTAGGACTTTACGATTTAGCGTAATCGGCGTTGTGATTAATCCGTTTACGACTTCGTCGTTTACGATCAAGTGAAAACTGAATCGCCGGAGTCGCAAGCAGGAGTGGAAGAACTAAACCAATCACAAAGCGTGGGAACGTGATTTGTGATTGGTTTATCCCTTCGCTTTTGCTTCCGACTCCGACAATCTGGTTTTCGCATAAGCGGAACGAAGCGGAGTCGGAAGAAAATGGAAACGTTCTGATCAGTTCCCACTCCGATTCCGTCGACCCTATGACTCTCCTTACGACTCCAATTTTAGATTTTCCCTAGGTCATAAGCGCTCTTATGACTCCGATTACGAGTCCGACTCCGACTCCGTCGCTAGTGAAAACCAGCCTTGACAAAATTCAAGTTCCAACCAACTCCCATAAAGCCTGGGCAACCTGTGGCAGGACCAATAAAGTTATGGGGGGATTGGGGAATTTTGTTTTCTTTACCGTTTCCCTTGTATGAATTTTTTAGGCCAGTGTATGTATATTTTTTAGGGTTACTTGGTGTGCATGAATTTTTTTATTAAAGTTTCTCTTGCGCGAATATTTTTTTGCACTTCGCCCGCCTCTCATTAGTTTTCCAATGTCCGTAAATTACGTCCACAGGGTTTAACCAACAGAGACGATATGACGGAGAGCTAGCTGACCTTCTTAGACGACTAAGATTTTCCGTTTTCTATGAGTTTATTAGCTTGATATTGAAATGTAAGGTTTTGACCATTCAGAACGCGTGCATTTTCTCATATATTTTAGAATGCTGTTTTTTCCCGGCCCATGCTGGATATTTCTTGTTTTTCTGCCGAGTTTAGGCTGAAAATACTCGTGTATCATTCTTAAATGAAAAAAATAAGGACATATACTGCCCATAAGTATTAGATGGGCCGTTCATCAAACACTGAACATTCGGCTTTAGTTAGTGCTGGTGTTTTTTCGTTTTCATTGGCTTGTTTTGCCATTTAGATATAGGAATAATTTTATTAGTTACGTTAAACACATAATTGCATTTTATGAACAGATTTTCAAAGCACAAAATTATACCCTTCAGCTTGGAGTTTATTCTTAAAATATTCCCAATCGCAAATTTCAGCCGCGATATTCTTATAAAATATATACAGTTCTTATATAAAGAAAAAAAGAGTGTAGCCCCGGTAATCATTATAGGCGAACTCTCATTGTCATTATCGGCAGTGTATAAAAGACAAAGACAAACAAACAAACAAACAAACAAATAGATCAAGTGCAGTCTGAGAACAACCTCCTTCCCGTAGGGACGGGTAGGAGAGAAACTTTTATACTAATGACGGTACCCAAATCTTGCTGTTTTAACAAAGGTCAACCGAAGGAGACACGCGTGTCTCCTTCTCGCGCGCCCGTTTTTTTCTTGTGCCCACTACTTCCAAGCGCCTGCTACGCAGGCTATCAAAGAAGAACGGCTTAACCGTTCGTAACATCGGGAATACTCATGTCGCTTTGTTTTTTGCTGGTAGGAGAGAACCCTGGGAACGAGGTTGAGAAAACAGCCAATATTTCGCGACGCCGCGAATGGTTTCCCCGCAAAGGTGTAGGACTATTTTGGTCTTAATCATAATTATAACAAAATTCTTAAAATTGATTGGCCACCAACTATGGCTCTTGGTCGATGCCCGCGAAGCTGACCAAAAGATGGGTACAAGATAAGGTATTTATTTTTTACAAGCAAAACACTATCGGAATCTTAGTGCTGTGTTTTATTTTAGAAAAGCTTAAGGTATCACACATTTTGTTTTAGTCACAATTTTAGAGCTGTCCCTATTTGGTGCAGTGACTATTCGGGAAAAATTTATTTTTAACGTTCCAAATCAGGACATTATCAAATTACTTGGCCGGGACTACCCCTAAAAAGCACCGGAAGCCACAGCCACTGATCTGTGATTTCTTTCGTAAGAAAAGGAAAGTAGAAAAAATAGCGAAAAGGAACTAACATTTTTACAACAAGAACGCTCTTACAGCAGAACCCAGATTTTTTTTCGATCGCCGCTCAGTAGTGTTCCGTAGTGTTTACTTGTTCCAAAGTAATCAACGCTTTCAAGCGATATAATTCGTGAACCGACACGTTTCGGAAAAGCTCTAAATTTAATCTTTCCTAAGCTTTCTTCAGAAAATATGCGTGGCTTCGATCACACAACAATTCTTAGTCCCAGTTTCCACGTCCTCGGAGACTCAGGGGCGGTCAGTCGGGTCGGGAGAAAGGGCGGGACGAAAGTTTTCAAGTACGTTTCGACCCGCCTTTTCTCCCGACCCGACTGACTGCCCCTGGGTCTCCGAGGATGCAGTTTCCATGGTCTCCTCTGGGAACGCCTGGCACAATGACGTCAATGACGCTCTTTTGCGTCCTAAATACGAAGAAAAACGGGCAGAAAAACGCTTTGCAGATTATGAGTCTCGTTGTCTACGAAAGCGAGACTAATAATAATTTCCGGTTCGTGTTTGCAATCTTGTTTTGCGTGTTATTCTAAGCTCAAGCTGTCCAAAATCAATAAAGAACCAAGCCGAAAACTGATAATAGTTGTATATTACCGATTTTAAATGAAAAACTTTTTTACGCAAGGAGGGGCCTATGTAACCCGGAACAGATAAAAAAGGAAATCAGAGGTTTTTAACATCTCAACTGGAGGAAGTGTAATGTTTTATCATAAATCAATTATGAACTTCCACGGAAGGAAGGGATGGATATTTGGTCAAAAATGCGCGAAAACTGCGCGAAAAACATTTCTGATTTAAACAGTAGTATATAGGGAAGGGAGGGTGCTTTGAAGTAACTTTCAATTTTCAGTCCCAGATTTGATTATTATCAAAGAAGTTAAATCATATCTTTTAATTTATATTTACCTGTATTGAACTAAAAAATATATTGCTTCTTTACTTTACTGATATTTTTGTACTCGTCGTGTTGGAACGTTCAAGGTCACTGTTATGATAATTTTGTTATTCTCCCTACCCCCGTGAAAATATGTCGTTGTGTTTCGCACATGCGGCGTGTATTCATACGTAAGAACATGTAGCTTGTTCAAGCTGCGTACTTTCGATGCAGAAGAAAGAATGAGATTGTGGCGATTTCGCACTGGATCGATTCTTCGAAGGTTTTTTATTGGATTAGTCATCTTAAGCATAATATCATGTTGGATTTTAGTGTACCACGCTTCGAAGGATTTGAAAGCTGCGAAACGTGCGCCCGTGTTCACAGAAGAAAAATGCTATCAGCGACGAACTTCAAGCACTGTTCATTTAGGATCTCCAGACCTCTACGAGTTAGGGAACAATATATCTCACAAACTAGAGAAAAGACTCTTGGTTGCAATTCGAAAAACTTCCATAACGTTTCGAGCGGAGATCGCTGCAGAATTAGAAGCAAATCGCTTCCCTCATCAATTTGTTTATCTCGAACCTGGAGACAAAACGGTTATTCCAGAGCTGACGAATTTAGGTGTTGGAAAGTTTTCTGCTGTGATATTTGAAAGCATCAAGTTTTATTTAGCGCTAGGAAAAGTCAACAAACAATTGATCGACGATTATTGTCGTAAATTCGCTATTGGAATTATTTTATTTTCAGAACAAGAAGTGTACGAACCCGATATACATGCATTCAAAGAATTTCACTTAGCTATTAAGACGGGTGTTGATAATCTTCAAGATGTCGAACTTAATCCAAAGGCATGCTTACTTAGACTCACTCGAGCAGGCGGTATCATTGAGAAACCTACGAGTTCAAAATGGAACGTGTTCTTTCCAAATCATAGCACTTACGAAGCTGTTGAATTTGCGACACTGGAAGTCACGACTACAACATTGCACCTCGATAATCACGAGGACAATTTTCTAAATGAGAAAGTCACAAGAACTCGATACACTACAGTCCTTGCAGATCTTGGACTCGTCGATGGCATACGACGTGTTTACTTCGGAAGTGGCTTGTCTTTTTGGCTTCATAAGTTATTGTTCATCGACTCCCTGTCATTTGTCTCTAGAGGGCAATTTGCACCATCCCTCGAAAGAAAAATTGTTGTAGACATCGATGATATATTTGTTGGGAGACCAGGGATTCGCATGACCAAAGAAGATGTACAGGTAGTAGCTTATATATATTTTATAGCCAATATTTCTTTTATTTTGCATTGATAAAGCCAGTTATCATTCAAAACTCTTCTTGGCTTCTCCATAGCATTTTTAATTATTTCACAAACATGCTATTGATTTGCTCAATACAAATAATTGTTAGGCATGTAGTTATTGATAGGCACAAATTTTTGAAAAGAACTCATTGTAGCTATTGCTAAAATGTTAATATTTCCTCCTGCCCGCTGTCTTGTTGTATAAAAACGGATCCTCTCCTTAAAATTAAAGGAGATTAACAGGTAAACATCAAATTTAAATTGCTTTCAGTAGATTATTTTAAATGTTTAATTATGTTCCTAAATTGTGTCTGAATAATTTAGAGGCTTCTAAGAGGGATAAGTTCACCATAGCTACACTATCCTTTCTTTTATAAAACTCTTTGAAATCCCAAAGCAAGCAAAAAGGGAACAACAGAAATAAAACATAGTTATCTTAACAGCTAAAGTATTACATGCATCATCCGTAAATAAGCTTACTTCAAGTGAAAAAGAGATGCAGTTGGTGTTCATTATTCTTTCAAGACACTTATGATACAATAAATTGGTCTATATGAATAATTATTCTAAAACACATTTGTATAAATATATGACTTGTACCACTGAAACCCAGTTCATACAGACACTAAAGGCACACGCCAAAACCTCAGAATTGTCACGATGTCTGTATTGAGCAGGCATTCAGAGATAACTGCCAACTCATTGACACTTGTTTTGTGCATGGTCAGACTAAAGCATACATCTTTTATGCAACAGGATAATGTGTTATGTCTCGACTGTCGTTTAAATGCATTTGGGTGAACTTTTTGCTTGTGGAGTGATTGTCCCAAGGGGGACTAGAATTAGGGTGAGGGGATGGGGAGCTCCCAAATAAAAGGATGGGGATGCTTGTCTTCTTGCCTAAGGGTGTACATTGCAGATTTTGTCTCACTTAGGGTGTTCAGGTTGATAAATCAATATATTTACCCAGGGCTGTTAACCCCCCATGTCTTTAAATATTGAGAATTGATAGAGAAGGAATGATATATAGGTGACATCATAAGGCACGACACATGACATCATTAAATTTGTGCAAAAAATGCCTGTTGACTCTGATCATCACAAATGTGCAATGACACAAAACGTGCAAAAAAGATGCTGTTGGCATTTGTAACATTTGACCTGATTGGTTTATTTCCCACCAATCACATTATCGCTTATATTACAATGGCATACCAGAGTTTATGAGGAAACGTTTGACATTAACAGTTAAGTGACTCAAACAATGCAAAATATTTAAAATAAAACATTTTATTGTCGGAAAGTTGAGTCAACAAGAATGGCAAACTTTGGCGATTAGCCTTGAGATTTCAGACTCTAATCTCAGGAGACAGGGAGGTACAGTCTAAAATCTGGAGTCACCCGGATTATTCGGTAGAGTTGACAGCTCTGCCAAATCTGTCATATTTGTTTCTCAACACTTAGTTGGGCAAGAATTAACAGTTGATATAAAACAAAGTGAATGTGAGTATATTTTTATAATGGTGCACCGCCACTGCTAAAGTTCAAGATTTTCCTAGTTGCTTAAATACACATAAATGCACGTCTTTCCAGCATAACCCCTGGCCCCACTGCCTCCTTCCCAAAATGAAAGGTTTCTTGGGGAGGCCTCCTGCAGACTCCTTCAATGATATTTTCCCTTTCTATACCTACCCCTACCTACAAGAGCCTAGTCTTCCCGCCCTGACTTAATTTTTTCTTTGTCCTATAACGTTTCTGGAGAGTACTGCTATCCATAAATTACAGGTACAGTCAAACCCCACTTTACGGACACCCGCTTAATATGGACGCCTCATACAATTATTATTTTCTCTAAATTCAACCTGCTGAATATGGACACCCCGTTAATACGGACACTTTCTATGGCCCCCTCAGTGTCTTTATTAAATATATGGGGTTTGACTGTACTTATATATAACAAACAATGTCCTATCATACTTTGTTGTGTTTACTGTTTCCATAGAAACTGTAAAACACTGTTCAGTCATGTTGTGTCTGTAATGTCTGTAAGTAAGAGAGGTGATATTTCTGAAGGCCAGATACCAAATATTGTATGATTCAGTTTGTAAACATGGAGAGTCTATCGCGCTCTAGTTGTTGCTATTATATCAATATATATTTTTTCTAGTCAAAAGAAATTTTGCAAAAAGAGGTTAATATTACTGTGGTCTTCAGCATGCTGCAAAACATGAAGATAAAGTGTGACTTGTTGTGTTGAAAAAATATTTTTGTTTCATTTTCTTTTTTTCAGCGGCCTGCTATATTGACAGAGCAAGCTGAGAAAATCGCAATTGCACAACAAACATAACAAAAACTGTAAACACAGCATTCAATGTTAACATCTTTAGGACAATGACAATCACTATAGCTCTTATGTGGCTGTTTGTTTTAGTACAGTGCGGGCCAGAACTTAGAGAACCAAAATATAGAAGTGATAAATGTCTGGAAAGATATGTACATGCGTCAGGCCAGAGGCGTACATGATCACAAGGCTGAAGTGACGGACATGTGTTACTGGTCAAAATTAAATTTAGGCTAAAATTTTGTAAAGCAGGTGGATTCTCAATTTTCTTTGTCTCCTAGCCCTAATTATTCATGAATTAGGGCTAGGAGACAAAGAAAATTGAGAATCAACTTTTTGTAGGTTAAAATTTTTTTTACCTGAATTTAATTTTGACCTGTGATACATGCATCTGCTCTGAAATGCATCATTGCATATTTAGACTCATTATTATGTATGAGCTATCTCTTTTGCACTTTAAGTGAAACCCAGATTGGTGTCCATTTGGGGTTTAAATCAAATTTTTTGGCCAGCATCCCAATTGACCTGCCAAATGTTTTTAATATGTATTTTTTCTTGATTGTAGTATTGGACAGCATCTTTTTAAGTTTTGTTATTGGTTTATTACAGGCAATGATTTCAGTTCAAAAGAAACTCCAAGAGTGGGTACCAGGCTTCCATTTCAACCTTGGTTTCTCTGGTGGTTATTTCCTACATGGTAATGATGAGGAAGACGAGGGGGATTGGGAATTAGTAAAGAATGCCGACAAGTTTTGGTGGTTCAGCCACATGTGGCTTCATCAAAAAGCTCATACAAGGAACACTTTAGAAGAGATGGTGGAAGATCTGAAGAAAAACTTAGAATTTGCAAAGGTGAGGGGCAGGCTGAAAGCACAGACTTTTGATTAGAGATGCTATAACCTCCTGAGATTTAAAATCTGGAGGTCTACCCTCTCTTTTGCAGTACCCCCCAAATATAATCAACCAATCCCCCCTGTAGCCCCCCCACCCTGATAAACACAAATTGACCCAGTTCCTATATTTATTATATGGTTGTGGCAGCTCAGGGCTTTTAATGCAGTCTGACTTATGTACGTAGGGTGTACAGATCACTAAAATTCACTTTTATGTTTGTAATGATGTAATAATCTTTGTCAGTGATGAAACGTGTGCAAAAATGCCCTAGATAACCATATCATGAGTCAAAATATTTTTTTAAAATTTGGAAAAATAATGGATAGTTAAATTTCCTGGCAGCTGCTGCTTAGCTACATCCCAGCTTACTTGGGAAGAAATATCACAGTTCACCTATGCCTTGTTGTACCATTGCAACCCTGCTCATGATCTTATGTCAAATTATCCCTTCGCATAACTGACATGGAGCTTTTTCAGTACACTCGACCCTTAATGCTGAGCATTTTTATTCTTTCCTGATTTTAATTATGAAGGCCCTGTTCGCACTACGACAAAAAGTAGAGTTTGGTCTATGCAAAAAAATGGACAATTTTGTTATCACCAATATATTTTTTTTGCAACCTTGTTTGCATCTGAGACATGGAAAAGTTTTTGTATAACCAGAAACTTCAATTAAAGGAACATTGATTGGTCATGTTTGTGAAATAAGATAACCTGACAAAGGATAACTGTCAAGGAACAAAGGATTTTGTTGTCTGACAAAAATTATAGGCCTCCAAAACTTCTCTTTTGAAGTTTGGTGGCACTTTAGAAAATTTTGGAAGGTGAAAAAAATCGTTCACACTAGAAATGACTTCCTTTTGACAGATTTTTTTGCAAAACAAACAAAATTTTGCGTATTGTGAACAGGGCTTAATATAGAGTGGTGTGAAGAGTCTTTGACATCAAAGTAAGTGATTGATGATAGCCTTGCTTCTTTCTTTTTGACAAGGAACATAACATTCCTGTGAATACCACTTACGCTGTTGCTCCTCACCACTCGGGCGTTTTCCCTCCACATGATATTCTCTATGAGGCTTGGAAGAGAGTTTACGGTTTAAAAGTGACGTCAACTGAGGAATACCCCCATATTTATCCAGCAAGGTTCCGCAGAGGCTTTGTCTATAAAAATATCAAGGTAATAATCTACATTTTGCAACAGTAATACCAAGACAAGCATTCTTGAATACTGGCTATGGTCAAACTTTGATGTGTGGTGACAACAGTCAATTCTCTAACAGCTGCAATTTAAACATAAGGGTATACCCTAAAGTTGACCCATGATAAGGTGTAAGGGGTTAATTAAAAGTGTTTGGAGTCAATAGTGAGCATATGTTATAAGGGGGTCACTGCTGGATTAATGGCAACGCTTTTGTTGATCTGTTAGTAAGTCCAAAGGTTATAGCATGCGTGCAAGATCCAAGGTCAAAATGCTTATGCTCAGTAACACTTTGCTTTGCACAAGTTCCATGTGATAAAAGGTTGAAACATGCGTGATCAGATCACGAGTGATAGAAAATCAAAAACTGTGTGGTCAGATTGGGTTCTTTGCATTCCATTAATTTTTATTAGAAGTCTAAACAAAATTCAATGTATGCTAAAAAATGTGCAGCGCATGGGTAATAGTCCAGGCATTTTGTCGTCGGACCTGTAACTAATTGCAAAAGAAGCTTTCTCATCATTTACCAGTTAGAAATATCCCATACATGAACATACCAAAAGTCCCCAAAGATCCAAGCATGGGAACACCTCTAAACAGGACTCTTAACATGAGTCCCTTTTTCCCATAGCATGAAAACGAGGCTGTAAACCGGA